TAGGAAGTACCAACGCTAGTGCTTGCACCATGTTCGTTTTCAACAATTCATAGGCCCTATAATCATTAGAATTCCAAAAAATGTATTTGTTAAGTATCTCAGTGAGAGGTCGAGCTATTACCCCATAATTCTTCGCTAACTTTTTGTAATATCCAGTTAATCTTAGAAAACCTCTCAACTTCTTCACATTTCTAGGTACTGGCCAAACAACCATTGCTCATATCTTTCTAGGATAAGTGAATACCCTTTCCTAATTAATGACATGTCCAAAGTAATCCACCCTTTCCTAACTAATGACATATAATCCACTTTAGTCTATACGAATGAACACTTAGATGGTTTGTCATATATAGTATTTTGGCGAAGAATGTCAAAGGTCAAGGCTATGTGATATTTATGGGTAGTTTGGTCTGGTTTGTATACAAATATGTCATTAAAGAACAAAATGATAAACTTCCTCAGATGAGCAGAAAAGATTTGATCGATTCATGAGAGCTTGGAATTTGGCTGGAGCACGGTTAAGACCAAAATGTCATCTTTGACCCTTCGAGTTCATCTAGCATATAATCTATAACATGAATGTGATTCTTGTCTTTGATGGTGAGTGATTTCAGCTATCTATAGTTAACACAGAGCCTCCAAGTCCCATCATTTTAAAAGAACTAACAGGACATGAGAGGCAAAGGGGCTACAATTGGGTTATATATATAATGGGAGCTAGCATGTCATTTACCAATCTTTCCATTTCAGACTTTGGTGGTAAAGAATAGCGATAGGGTCTCAGGTTGACAGGGTTTTTTACATGGGGTTGGTGTGATCACAAGGACGGGAAGGTGGTAAGGATTTAGGCTTGGAAAACACATCATCAAACTCATTCACCACAAAATCGAAGGAATTATAGAATGCTACATGGAGCCATTGCAAATATGATGAACAATTGGCTAGAGTACATATATATAGGAACCTTCTTCATAAAGTACTTCTACATACCCTTAATAAACATAGATTTTCAGTTGCCAAACTCTTGAAAACCCTTTAGAGAAAATTCTTGACCATTGAGGTAAAAAAATATTGTAAGTCAATGAACTCAAACTTCACAGAACTAATAGTTCTTACCCAATCCAGACCCAAAACCATGTCATTCGAGCCCATGCCTAATATCCTGGCATCATAGGTAAATTGATGACCCCATCTCTTCCACTTAAACCTTTTGAAAACTATATTACTAGCCAAAATAGTTCCATATGCTAACTTCACTCTCAATAGAGTGGCTGCCACTGATTCACAGTTGAGATCCAGTGCTTTTTGCTCATTCAGAATTGTATGAGTGATTCCAGAGTCTATTAGCATAAACATATTCTTCTATTTTGAACACATGATGGATTTGTCCTTTTGCCAAGAATACATATTCTTAGACCATTTCATTGTCGACTTTTAGCAATCTATGGAGCTTATGTGATTAAATATTTAGCAAATGTCAGTTGCCCGATGGGGCTTGCTAAATTAGAAAGTCCATCAACAATGGCTTCTAGACCTATTGGATGCACGTTTTTTCTTTTAATTGTTTCTTTTCTTCCTTTTTCCTTACCACAAATTGTATTCTAGTACATTATTATTTTAAGTTGTTGATTGAAAATATATTTATATATTATTAGTTAGAGGAGTAGTTATGAAACATACTTTTTTGTTATTGTTGGGGGTATCATAATTGGGGCCCAACAAATAGCAGATCGGGCCTCCAAGTGACAGCATTGGGGGGCAAAAGCCTAGGAATGGACTTATGAAACCCTTCCAGGCCCAAGCAAGGTGAGGGGCGCATGAGGACAAAATGCTAAAGGCCAAGAAGGCAGGCCAGGCTGTCAGGTGGTCCATCACCAGCGGACGCCCGCCACGCGGCAAGAGTCTGACAAGGTAGTTGGGATAGCTGGCAAGGAGGGTACAGATCAGAGGGGCCTGAGAGGTCAGAATGTCAGATGGTCCACCACCTGCGGGCGCCTGCTACGCAGCAGAGACCTGACAAGGTGGTTGGAATGACTGACAAAAGGGGGAACAAAGCATTAAATGAGGCAGTGACGTGGAGGAGATCAACCTCGAACTTGGTGAGTATAAATAGCGGCAGTTGGTAGCATTTACACAGGTTGGGTTCTCTCACTAAAACTTTTACCTTGAAACACTTCTCTCTCTAAGAGACTAACTTGAGCGTCGGAGGATTAACGGGCCCAGGCGCCCCCTCCGTGTTCCTGTGTGTAGGCAGGCACTGATCGGGAGTGAGATCGCGAGAGTCCCAGCGAGGCGTCTTGGCTAAAAAAATTGGCGTGCCAGATAGGGGAATACAACCGGGAGTTGTGAGTGAGGAGGCGCCGATGAATGAGGAAAGAGAAGAAATTACAGAGGAACAATCGGGGCGGTTGAGAGGGCTGACGCCCGAGACGGATGGAGGCGAGGAAAGCGATGGCGTGTTTCGGGGGTCGGAGGACGCCTCGGTCATGAAGAAAGAGTTGTTCAAAATCATCGAGGATCAGGACGAAGCGATCGAGGCGCTTCAGCGAGAAGTGGACGCCTTAAAAAGGGGCGAGGGGATGACGCCCAGCCCGACGAAGAAAAGGGAACTAGCGGCGGAGACCGAATCGAGTCAGGGTGTCAGAGGCGTCCAAGTTTGTGGCGCCTGCATGATCACGGAGGGCCGGACGAGAGTGGGTGGAACGGAGGAATTCTGGGGCGCCTGTCACGCCACTGCCCCGTGAGGCAACCCTTGGCGCGTAACATTCTGACGGAGCCTGCGGGTACCAACATTCCCCCGCTCCCCACCTATGACGAGACCGCGGCTCCAGAGGACCACCTTAATGGGTACTTCACCAAAATGCAGCTATACAACAGCACAGACGCCACCCTGTGCAAGGTGTTTCCATCAACTTTCGCGGGCGTGGTCCTCGACTTGTACCACCAGATCGAAGAGGGGCGCATTGATTGTTTGGAGCAGTTTACAGCGATGTTCCTGGCGAAGTTCGCCAGCAGGAAGCGTCGCTCCCTGACCATAGGCGCCCTGTTCAAAGTCAAACAAAGAGAGGGAGAGGCGCTGAGGGAATTTTATGAAAGGTGGCTATCCGTGGCCTTGGCAGTGAAAGATGCTCAGCCGTCAGTATTGGGAGTATGCCTGAATGAGTGCACCACTAGCGAGGAGTTGTGTAGGTCGCTTGCGAAAAGAGACGTGGTATCCACGGAGGACCTGGATCACAGAGTACAAAAGGTGATCATGCTCGAAGAAACGTTGGCAGCCAGGAGAGCAGACAGAAGGAAGACAAGAGGGGAAGAAGTTGAGATGACACAGAGGCCGCACCCCCCGAGCGGTCCAGGCTACACGCCCATGAGCCATCCCTCGCCAAGGAGAGTCGATGTGGGGCGCCCGACGCCCAAGGGGACGGGACACTTTGCTGAGTATAACGACACTCTGAAGAACATACTCCAGCACGTCAAGGAGAAGTGGTATCACATCAGATGGTCGGGCCCCATGAGGGGACAGCCCAACGAACAGAACCTGGATCGATATTGTGACTTCCACCGGGAGGTGGGGCACCATACAGACGACTGTTATCAGCTGAAGACCGAGCTCCAGGGCCTGGCCGACAGAGGGATGCTCAACGACTTCGTCAAGAGGCCTGAGGAGAGAGTGCACTGGGCGTGCGTGGCCAGCGTGGAGAAAGGGAAGGTGGAACTGCCGCCCCCGCCATACAACCAATGCAGTCAAAAGCGCGATTCTACCTAGAAGCGGAAAAGGGGTAAAATCGTAAAGCGTAGAATCAAAGCGTAAAAACGTAAGTTTTTGAAGCACCCTGTAAAATAACTGAAATCTATTAAGTATGACTTGTACTATGTGAAATGTGAGTGTAAAGATTTTCTATAAGTGAATAAATACCTCCAAATTATGTTTAAAACGTAATTTCTCACACATAAATCAATTTGTCACGATTCCAACCAAGTGCAAACTCATAACATCTTAACAATAATCAACCTCATAAAAACAACATACAATAAATTAGAGAAGCCATAAAAGACAAACTAATCTCTGTTTGGTTTATGATTACAGCAATAAAGAAACAAATTAGTTGCCTATTATAGCAAATTAGCAACAAAGAAACAAACTAATCTCTGTCATTCACTCCGGCAAACCAAAGGGGACTTCTCATACTTCTTGGCCAGCCATCCTCCTCCATTCTCACTGCCAAAACCCCACAACAAGATTACAACACAACCAGAACCCCACAACATCACCTCCTGGCCAGCTATCTTCAGGGGAAAAAAGAAAAAAGGTCCACATATCACCGACAAACCAACCACTTATAATACATCGCACACGTTTAATTCATGTAATTTCTATCAATTCTTTTCATCCATCTGTTGTTTTACGTGGTCGTAATGAACATTAAAAAGCAACACCAATATTTTCTAGAGTGATGGCCGATGGGAGCATAGAAAAGAGCAGAACATTCCACAATTGAAAAAAAAAAAAGAATAACAGAAGAAAGTCTGGCGGCGGGAAGCTGCACAGGTATGGCTGGTCGGAGGGTGCGATGGAAGTTGTTCGGAGCTGAAGGCCGCGTTCTGCTGTAGACTTGAAGGATTCCGTCATAGCTCGTGTGGTGCAGGTCGCGGCTTGTCGGAGCCCATGTGGTGGAGGCAGCGGCCTGTCGGAGCTCACGCGGTGGACTGGCAACTGCTTTGCCCTCGCTTCTTCTCCGATGGTGGTGGGCTAGTGGCTGCTTCAACCTGCAGTTGTCGATTAGGATGTAGGGATTTTTGTTTGGGGCTGGGAGATGCTTGAAATACGAGCTCTCTTGATATCACCTGTCCCTTTGTTTCACACCAAAAACGGCGTCATTTTGATGAAAATGTAAAGTTTCTAATTGTTGGCTGAAATCGCATATAAACGCAATGAAAACTCGTTTTTACACGTTTTTAGCGATTTTAACGTTTCTACTATCGATTTTGAGCGATTTTGAGTACATATTGTTTTTAGTTGGAAACTGAATTGTTTTGGTGACCTAGATACGTAAAAACGTACGATTTTACGCTTTAAGCGCGATTTTGGACTGCATTGCATACAACCTCGACCAAGAAAAGGCGCCTGACCGCGTACGCCTAACTATTGAAGTCATTTCGGGAACGATGGACCTGAGGGAAAAATAGAGGCAAAACGCCGTCTGAGAGCGGCGTCGGCCGACGTGCAGGAGGCCATCGATATTAGCTTCAACAAGGCGCCGGAAGAAGCATGCATGCTCCCGTCCATGGACGCCTTGGAGATACAAGGAGTGGTGGCGGGATGCAAGGTGAGAAGGATGCTTGTCGATACAGGGAGCTCCATGGACGTGTTGTTCAAAAATACTGTGGTTCGCATGCAATTATCGCCGGAGCTGATCCGACCGTCGGAGTCGGTGCTAGTTGGTTTTTCGGGGGCGCCTGCCAAAGTAATAGGGCGAGTGTGCCTGCCGGTCACCCTGGGGGACGGGGAGCAAAGGGTGACACGTGTCATCGACTTCGGAATAGTGGACTGCCCATCGTCGTACAATGCGATCCTAGGAAGACCACACCTGGCCTTATTCAATGGGGTGGTCTCCACTTGTCACCGAACCTTAAAATTCATTGCCCCGCAAGGGGTAGGCGTAGCCCGGGGACGAGGCGCCCCGCGTTATGCAAAGGAAGCAGGACGTAAGCGAAGACACACCGATGCAAGAGTCAATGTGATGGAAGTCGTGGTGGAAGAAGCACCTCGGGCCGAGGCTGCCGACGAAAAACTCTTGGTGGCGCTGGAGGAAGGGCTTCCGGAAAGACAGGTGAGAATATCTGCAGAGGCGCCCGATGAAATGAAAGAACGCCTCATCGCCCTCTTGAAAGAGTTCGCGGAGCTCTTCGCATGGAGAGCACTGGAAATGCCAGGCGTCACACCCGAAACGGCCGTTCACAGGTTGGCGGTCGAGGAAGGCAGGCGCCCCGTGCAGCAAAAGCGAAGGAACCTATCGCCAGAAAAGGAGGCGGCGCTTAGGGTCGAAGTGGACAAGCTCATGGGCGCCAACTTGGTCGAAGAAACTTCTTATGTTACTTGGTTGTCAAATGTGGTCTTTATGCCAAAACCATCAGGAGATTGGAGAATGTGCGTGGATTATACGAGCCTCAATAGAGCATGTCCCACTGATGCCTACCCGATGCCACGAATAGACCTGTTGGTGGATTCTACAGCGTACCACGAGATGTTAAGTTTCGTGGACATGTTCTCCGGATACCATCAAATTCCCATGGCAGAAGAGGACCGACCTAAAACAGCCTTCATGACGCCCTTCGGAAACTTTTGCTACCGGGTCATGGCATTCGGGCTAAAAAATGCGGGCGCCACCTATCAAAGAATGGTCAATAGCGTCTTCCGTCAACAAATCGGTAGAAATGTGGAAGCCTACGTGGACGACCTTATAGTCAAAAGTCGGAGGCGCGAAGACCACCTGGAGGACTTGCGGGAGACGTTCCAGGCGATGCGGGCGCATAGGCTTCGCCTCAACCCCCTCAAGTGTGTGTTCGGCGCCGAGGCAGGGAAATTTCTGGGATTCATGATCACCAAAAGAGGCATCGAAGCCAATCCAAAACAGGTAGACGCTATTCTCAGGTTGACACCCCCGAAGACGCCCAAGGAGGTACAAGGCCTGGTAGGAAGGTTAGCGGCCCTGGGGCGCTTCATCCCCCGATCCGCAGAAAAGGCCACTCCTTTCTTTCGAACGCTCAAGAAGGCTGCGCGTTTTCAGTGGACCACCGAGTGTGATGGGGCGTTCGAAGAATTGAAAAGGCTCCTAGCCGCCCCAACTGTGATGACGGCGCCCAAAGCAGAAGAGACGATGTACCTTTATATTACTGTGTCCGAAGTCTCTGTAAGTGCAGTGCTTGTTGCAAGGAAAGCCCACTATGGAGAAGACAAACCGATATATTATGTCAGTCGCACCATGGTCACCCACGAAAGGCGATACGCACCCATCGAGAAGGCCGCATTGACAGTTGTGATGGCTGCGACCAAGCTAAGACCCTACTTCCAGGCACACACCATCGTAGTACTCACCAACCTCGACACGGGCTGGCCGAGGATTTTCCACTCGGCCGTGCGAAAAGCACATTTGGCCGTGTGACTTTTGACGAGAGCTCACACGGCCAACGGGGATTTCCACACGGCCGTGTCACAATCACAACTGGCCGTGTGGAATTTCACGAGAGCTCACACGGCCAAAACTCAAATCCACACGGCCGTGTGACTTTCAGGGCTGGCCGTGTGGGCTGCCAGAACTCCGAAATTGACCTGTTTTCACTCCAGAACGACATACAACTCGTGAACAACCCCTCAAGACTAAAAAAACACAAAAAATCAAAAAGAAAAAAAATAAGAAAATGCAAACCTAGGTGGGGTTGCCTCCCCACAAGCGCTTCTTTACCGTCTTTTAGCTGGACGCCAGTAGAGGAACTAAGGGTCCGCGAGCTTGATCAGCAGCTCTGCGCGCTCGACAGCACCTCCCAAGTACAACTTTAGGAGGTGGCCATTCACCTTGAATGACTCAGTTTGAGCATTGCTGATCTCCACCGCACCGTGCGGGAAAACTTGGGTGACCGTGAAGGGTCCCGACCACCTCGAACGGAGCTTACCCGGGAAGAGTTTCAGGCGTGCATTGAAGAGCAGAAGACGATCACCTACCTGAAACTCTTTCGGGCCCCTCAATTGAGCGTCGTGGAGACGCTTGGTGCGCTCCTTGTAGAGCAGGGTGTTCTCGTAGGCGTGGTAACGCCACTCCTCCAACTCCAGCAGCTGCAACTTACGTTCTGTACCTGCAACACTCAAATCAAGGTTTAGCAGCTTAATGGCCCAGAAGGCCTTGTGCTCTAGCTCTACCGGCAAATGGCACGCCTTCCCATAGACAAGCCTATAGGGAGAAGTGCCAATCGGATTTTTATAGGCAGTCCTATACGCCCAAAGAGCATCATCGAGCTTGGTGGACCAATCCTTGCGGGACTGATCCACCGTCTTTTCAATTATTCATTTTAGCTCCCGGTTCATCAGCTCGACCTGCCCATTTGACTGGGGATGGTAGGCCACCGACACCTGATGCTTAACGCCATAACGAGAGAGGAGTTTAGTGAATTGCCCCTGAAAATGGGTTCCTCTATCGCTAATAATGGCGTGAGGTGTCCCGAACCGGGAGAACAGCTGCTTCAGAAATGAGCAGACCCGTCTTGCATCATTGGTGGGCATGGTTTGAGCTTCTGCCCACCTCGAGACGTAGTCCACTGCAACCAATATGTACAGATTGCCAAAAGATGGAGGGAATGGGCCCATGAAATCGATACCCCAAACATCAAAAATTTCACAAATAACAGAGATATGTTGGGGCATCTCATCCTGGGAAGAAATGTTACCTGACTTTTGGCAGCGGTCGCACTGTCGTGCGAAGGAGTCTGCATCCTTGAAGAGCGAGGGCCAATAGAAGCCCAACTGTAGCACCTTCCGCGCCGTGCGGTTTCCTCCATGGTGACCTCCAGTAGGTCCCTCGTGGCATTGAGACAGGATGTCTCCCATCTCGTGCTCCATGACACAGCGCCGGATCACGCCGTCTGCTCCGATTCTGAAGAGGTAAGGATCCTCCCAGAAGTAATGCTTCAGATCGGAGAAGAACTTGCGCTTTGCATGAGTAGCCATCCCCTTGGGTAACTGCTTGCCCACCAGATAATTGGCAAAGTCAGAATACCAAGGGGCCACGCTTTCCACCAGTGTCATCGCCAGCAATCGCTCACCCGGGAAGGAGCCATCGATCTCTTTCACGAAGTTGTCCACCGGAGGGGCTTCAACCGTGAAAGATGATCTGCAGCAACATTCTCGGCTCCTTTCTTGTCCCGGATTTCTATGTCGAATTCCTGCAGAAGCAGGATCCAGCGGATGAGCCGAGGCTTTGCATCAGCCTTGCTCATCAAGTAGCAGATCGCCGAGTGATCTGTGTAGACCACAACATGGGAGAGCACCAGATATGGCCGGAACTTGTCAAATGCATACACCACAGCGAGAAGCTCCTTCTCAGTGGTGGTGTAATTCTCCTGTGCATCGTTCAAGGTCTTCGACGCGTAGTAGATGGGCTGGAAGTGCTTCCCGCGTCTCTGACCCAGAACAGCTCCGACTGCATAGTCACTCGCATCGCACATCAGCTCAAAGGTTAGAGACCAATCAGGAGTCACCATGATGGGAGCGTGGGTGAGCTTCTCCTTCAAAGTCTCGAATGCTGCTGTGCACTCTGGAGTGAACTGAAATGGTGCATCCTTCTCTAGCAGCTTGGTCAGAGGCAGGGCAATCTTCGAGAAATCTTTGATGAAGCGCCGGTAGAAGCCTGCATGACCCAGAAAGCTGCGAATCCCCTTCATTGAAACGGGAGGAGGTAGCTTACTGATTGTCTCAATCTTCGCGCGATCCACCTCAATCCCCTGCTTGGAGATCTTGTGCCCAAGCACAATCCCCTCACGGACCATAAAATGGCACTTCTCCCAGCTGAGTGCCAGATTAGTCTCTTCACACCTCTTCAGAACGAGTTCTAGGTTATGGAGACAATGAGTGAAGGAGTCTCCATAAACCGAGAAGTCATCCATGAAGACTTCCATGATCTCCCCGACCAGTCGGTCGAAGATCGCCATCATGCATCTCTGGAAGGTCGCTGGTGCATTACAAAGCCCTAATGGAATCCTCTGGTAAGCAAAAGTGCCGAAGGGGCAAGTGAATGTGGTCTTCGCCTGATCCTCTGGTGCAATAGGAATATGGAAATAGCCAGACATGCCATCCAGGAAGCAATATAACTCATGACCAGCCAACCTCTCCAGCATCTGATCAATGAAAGGTAGGGGAAAATGATCTTTCCTGGTGGCGTCGTTCAGGCGCCGGTAATCGATGCAGACTCTCCAGCCGGTCACGGTCCGCATCGGAATCAACTCTTTCTTCTCATACGGGTCCACAGTCATCCCGCCTTTCTTCGGGACCACCTGAGTGGGACTGACCCACTTACTATCAGATATAGCAAAGATGATCCCTGCATCCATGAGCTTCACAATCTCTGCCCGGACCACTGCCTCCAAGTTAGGAGACAATCTCCTCTGCGGCTGCCTGACTGGCTTAACCTCATCCTCCATCAGAATTCTATGGGAGCAGAAGGATGGGCTAATGCCTCTGATGTCTGTGATCTTCCATGCCATGGCCCGGGCATATTTCTGCAGCAAAGCCACCAGCCTGCTCTTCTGCTCTGGTGTCATATCCGAGCTAATAATGACCGGGAGCTTATTCCCCTCCCGGAGAAATGCATACTCCATGTGAGAGGGGAGGGGTTTAAGCTCCAGCTCTGGTGGCTCCTCCAATGATGTAGCGATCCGGGGCGAGATAGGTATCGGCTTGAATGGTATCTCTCGCCCCTCGATCATGGCCTCGTCTAGCTCCGCGAGCTGCTCCTCCAGCTGCATGTCCTATGATACCTGTTCCCCTAGCAAAAGACAACGCTCAAGGAAATCATCAGTACCCGCACTAGTGATGGCGAGTGCGGTCTTAAAATTAGCAACAACATCACAGTAATCTAGATCATCATGGAGCTGGGGGTATTTCATATTATCAGAAACAGAGAAGGTGATTTGTTCACCCCCAGCTCGCAAAATCAGTTTTCCATCATTCACATCAATGAGCGCCTTGGCGGTGGCGAGAAAAGGTCTACCCAATATCAATGGCACATCCACATCCTCATTTATGTCCAAAATCACAAAATCAACAGGATAAGAGAATGACCCTACTACGACTATCAAGTCCTCTGAATGCCCCTAGGATGCACAATGGATCTATCAGCAAGTTGAATGCTCATCCTAGTATCACTAGGTTCACCTAGGCCTAGCTTTTTAAACAGTTTATATGGCATGACAATTATGCTAGCGCCTAAATCCGCCAAGGACTTCCCTATATGCAAACTACCAATCATGCAAGGGATAGTGAAACTCCCTGGGTCTTTCCGCTTCTCTAGTAGTTTGTTCTGCAGGATGGCAGAACACTCCTCGTTGAGCATCACCGTTGACAGCTCCCCAAGCTTCCTCTTGTTGGTGAAGAGATCTTTCATGAACTTGGCATACTTGGGCATCTTCGATAATGCCTCCACGAAGGGCATGCTTATATTCACCTGCTTCAGCATTGCCATGAACTTGGCAAACTCAGTCTCCAGTCGGTCCTTGTGCAACCGAGTAGGAAAGGGGAGCTGGGGTACATACTCATTCACCACTGGTTGCGGTTTAGGAGCAGGCACCTCAACCTCCTTCTCCATTTCATCTTCAATAGCTGAAAGTGCTGAAGCAGGGGTCTCTTTCTCTTCTGCCCGAACAGGTGGATCGGCAGTCACCTTGCCACTCCTGGTGGTAATGGCCCCACAGTGCTCATTCGGGTTCTGCGGATGAAGGATGGTCTGACCGGGTAGAGTACCAGGAGGCCTCTTAGCTACAGCCTGGGCAACACTCCCAAACTGGGTCTGGATATCCCGAAGAACAGTCTGCGTGTTTCTCTGACCAGCTTCTAGCTCCATGAATTTGCCTGAAGCTTTCTCCATGAAGTGCTCGATGTTATTGAACTTGTTTGCACTAGAGGTGGCAGAGAACCCACCAGATCTCGCAGTTTCGCCATCGGGTCACTCTGAGCTGGGGCTGCAGGTGCTGCCCATGTCTGCTGAAATGGCCGCACCTGTGACAGAGGTGGAACTGGCCCCTGTCTGGTCGGGTAGAGTGGCTGATGTGGCTGCTGAAATTGCCCTTGTCTGGACTGGTAAGGAGGCCTCTGGAAGCCAGGTGGTCCCTGTGGGACTGGTGGTCTAGAATTTGCCCCACCCTAGGAGAAGTTGGGATGCTGGCGCCACCCCTCGTTGTAAGTGTTGCTGTAGGGGTTGAAGCGCCTGACATTACTGATGAAGTCCACCTGCTCCTAGGGAGTAGACGACTCCCTCATCGCCTGACAGTCCTCCACGGTGTGATGGGAGCTCTCACACCACTGGCAGTGCATCGCTTGCGGCTGTCCTGTACCTGTAATCAAATAGAGCGATCTATGGCTGAAACCAGCTTCGATACCACCTGCACCAAATCAGATGACTGGGTGGCGACAGCATGCACACCCCGCTTTGGTGCTCTTCTCGATCTCCTGAAAGTGCCCCAATCATATCCATGCTCTGCCATCTCTTCAAAAAGTTGATTCAGCTGTGGCGGCGTTTTGGTGAGCATATTCCCGCCACAGACCTAGTCAATCAGCTTCTTGTCCTCCGAGAAGAGAGCATGATAGAAGGTTCCCACCTTGAAGGCATCAGTAAAACCATGGTTGGGACACTTGAGGAAGAGACTAGTGTATCTCTCCCAAGCATCCCTGATGGTCTCATCCTCATCCTGAGCAAAATGGGTAATTTGTTTCTGCAGGTCCGCCGTCTTGGATGGAGAATGGTAGCGGGTGATAAACTTGTCCGCCAGGTTGGCGAACATGGTGATGGAGCCCGGAGGTCGAGTGTCTAGCCACTCCTTGACCTGCTCCTCCAGGGTGAATGGAAAGTACCTCAACTGGATGGCATCTGCTGGGACCCCATTGATCTTGATTCCATCAATGAGATCGTGGAATCGCCTGAGATGTGATCGGGGGCACTCCCCCTCTTTGCCACGGAACATCACTGAACCGCGCAGCATGGTGATTACTGAGGTGCTCAGCTCAAAATTGTTGGCTGGGACATGAGGGTGTTGAATGGGTGACCTCATGTCTGTAGCCCTGGCGGTCCAGTAATATCTCATGGTCTGCTCCTCGGGAAGGACCACATCATGGTTTTGTGGATCCCCCATCTCTTCTTCTTCAGCGATCTGCAGCTGTGCTAGCTCCTCCTCCACAGCCAGTCGCGCCTTTAGAGCCCGCTTGAAGTTTCTGCAGGTTCGTTCAAGCTCCTGGTCTAGTGGTAGTAGATCTCCCGACTGGCTACGGGTCATGCACTACCTGCACACAATCAGCAGAAGCAACCCGTGAAGGCACACAGGTGGAAGAGATAAAATGCAGTAAAGAAAAAGCTAGAGTAACAGATTTGCAGGTTTCCCCAATAACCTAGAGGTTCCCCGGGAACGGCGCCAAAAACTTGACACGCCAAAACACAACACCAAACTGCGACCAAGTGTAATCGCAGTCCAGGAATGCAGTAAAATGGCAAGTTCTATTATCAACCCGGGGTCTAGATCTACTGCTTACTCCGTGATTCTCTATTATCTAGCCAACTAAGTTAAGTGATTGTTGTTTAAAGCAAAAGCAGAAAGAAAGCAGGAATTGGTACGGTTTTCTCAAGCAAAGAAGAGTCACTCGGGAATGAGTCCCCCTAGCTCCTTAGTTAGGTTTCAATTGTATTTTCCCTTGGTTGATTTACTGTTGATTAGACTGCGGAAGATCCGACAATAGTTTGGAATCTCTTAAGCTGACCAAGCCCTCTCAGTCTAACTACCCGGCAGACGACTAGTCTTTACCGGGATAGAAAGCTGAAGCAATAAGAACAGAACTCCACTACTGGAATTGGATTCCAGTACAACGCAGTAAACTGGCTAACTCTAGTATAGCCAATCTCCTACTACCGAATGATGAAGCTCTAACAACCTAATCAGATTCTATCTATCTCAGGTTGCAGCAGAAATCAGGAAAAGCTGATCAGACTTCAATTGACTCAATAAACATGCATCATTCGATTAAAACTAAACAGTATAATCATCCCAAGTCATTACAATCAAATCCCTAACACATGGAACTAGGGTTCTTCATACCCAAGTGAGAGAAGGTTTCTACTCGATAGAGAGAGGGGAAAACAGAATACAAAGCAGTCATTCTCATAACAATGGGAAGAATCTGCTCTGGGATGATGATTTCCACTCCTATGACGATCTCCAAGCTCGATTTGATGAAACCCAGCTCCAAGATAGCTTCTAGGATGTGTTCTTCATACTTTCTCTCTCTAGAGCTCTGTTTTTGCTCTGAAAATCCGATTCCTCTCACTTGCAGCCCGAAATTGGGTAAAACCAGAAATTCCCGACTCACATGGGCAGGTCACGCGACCGTGTGGCATACCCAGTTGCCCGTGTGAGGTCAAAACGCCACGTTCCGAGTAATTGGGTTTCAGGCTTCCCACACGGCCAAGGCCACACGGCCGTGTAGCTCACCCAGCCTGGCCGTGTGAAGCCTCGCAGAATTCCACACGGCCAAACTGCAACTTCACACGGCCGTGTGGAATTTACTTGTGCCCGTGTGAAGGCTCGCACAATCCCACACGGCCTCCTTGGTCACTTGCACAGCCGTGTGAGTTGTGAGTGTGCTCGTGTGGCTTCCTTTGTGACTTGCCTCGCGCCCGATCTTCGTCCAATCCACACCTCAAACAGCTCCAGAAAAGGAGTAAAAACATGTGCAATTAACGGTTTATCAAACTCCCCCACACTTAACCGTTTGCTTATCCCCAAGCAAACAAAGTCAGACACAAGGTCAGCTCACATATTTCAATCATACCAACATTGGGGACAAATCATATAGGCACAGAACACGTGAATCATATTGGCTTTCAAACATCAACACATGAACAACCTCAATAACAACCTGGACAACCACCACAGAAGACATTCGAGCTCAGCAAAATCGAGTAAAGGAGGAGTCTCCCTACTGTTCATCAACCAACCTAGACTTGGCTCAATCACTCACTCAAGATAGTCAACTCATGCATAAAACTCAAGACATCAGAATCAAGACTGAGCCATCTAGGTCCTCACCGGGTAAAGAGTGTAAAGAACAAGGAAATGAATCGCTCACTCTCGACCAGTGGGGTCAGGACAATTTGATTCAAAAAATGCGCATATTAATTCTCTCAATTCCTAACATCTCTTCACCATGACGGCAGCCTCTAAAGGTTATTGTTCACATAAATGGTTGTCATCACTAACTAATCAGGAGGTCTTAGACACAGGTTCAAATGACTGGCTAGGGTCTTGGACATGGGGAAAAGGCCTTTTAGGTGGTGGAAGTATTCATAGCACAAGGTTCCACAATTCCAAACCCAACAAACTCACAGTCAATCAAACCAGTACTTTCTTTCAGATATTCTGCATTACTCAAATTCTTCAGAGAACAAGAGCGAAGGAGGTCACATAAATACCAGTATTTCTAAGCCAGACTGCTAAGAAACACTACTTAATAGGCACTATTAAGATTTTTTATGGTGGCTCTCTTTTGCTTTCATTTTTTCTTTGTTTTTCTTTCAATTTTTTTTTTCATTTCTTAAGAGAACCACCACCTTTGCACATTTTCAAACACCTGCCCAAATTTTTAAGAACTACCTCCAACTCTCACATTACATTTAGCAGAAACAGCAGAGAACATGTAAAAAACACTTTGTGGAACCTTCTAAAAGATGCAAAAGAGTGACTTTCATTGAAGACCGAAAAGAAAAGATAGCACACGGCTCAAAGGGGCTGACTAGGGGGTATGACACACCAGGACAGTCAATTTGGTAGTTGGCTAATCCTATGTCTCCATCATCTTAGCTAATAACAACGTGAATGCTACACATCATGGAAGAGGGAACTATCACACAAGAAAGAAACGAGCAGGCTCAAATCTCACATGGCTACCTATATGCTCTATCTCTCATTTTGATTCCCTGAACTAGATGCATAAAAGACTGTAAAAAACAAGTAATCAATCCAAGTCACAGTTGGTAAACAAACAGTTGAAAAACTGAACCCTACACAATTCTACTACACGTCTCAGTCATCATTATAGGTTGTCCTAGTCATCATCCAGTTGTCATGCATTAATCCGAAAACCATTCAATTCACCAATCAAAACACAGCGCCAATATGATCAAACAGCCGTACTTGGAGCCCTCAAATCTCGAGATTTGAACAGCGGACTAGGCTCCAAGCACACGTATATACATTCCAACCGATACAAAGCACTCCCCACACTTAAGCACGACATTGCCCTCAATGGAGCAGAAGGATAGAGAAGGGGAATGATGTTACCGGACTAGGCTCCAAGCACACGTATATACATTCCAACCGATACAAAGCACCACCCCACACTTAAGCACGACATTGCCCTCAATGGAGCAGAGGGATAGAGAAGGGGAACGATATTACCGGATTGAAATGCTGCGGGAGACTGGAAGTGGACCAGTCAGCGTGGGACATATGGAACGAACGAACAGTTCTGCACTAAGGGAACATCAAGAACACACTAGCACATGTTCGTTAGGGATCAGAGATGGCCCAAATGGCCACAAAAGAAACAATCCACAAAAGAAAAGAAACAAAACACACGACAAACTCAGTTCAAGCTCCTCAAACACATGGAGCAAACAGAAAAAGTCTAAAACAAAAACACACAATGAGGGGGCGACAAATACAGCCTACTCGTCGCCAAGGTTGTCCAAATCGATGTCATTCATGAATGCATCATCATCATCAGCTGGTGGAGGTGGAAGTGGAGAGTCCTCCCAGGAGTTCTCCAGACTGGCTGCTCGCCCGGTAGCAGCTTGGGCAGATGCCCCTGGACCTCCTGCATGCGCCTAGCTCGGGCATGCTCCCTCTCGATGCGCGCCAAGGTCACCCCCTGCTGGGTCTCCATCCTATCAAGGCCCTCATCATACGCAGCATCCGGGTCTGGTACTCGGCATGGTGAGCCGAATAATGCTGCTGAAACTGGAGCTGATAGTCGTAGAGCTGCTGATTCTGGACATCGTCATCACCTCGCCGGGGAAGGTAGAGCTGCCACCCCCGTACTCGAAGGTGGTGGGGCGGGCGGCAGCAGTATCATCCACATCCTCCGGGTGGACATCCTCATCACCCGCACCCTCGGGAACCTCCTGCTGGACCTCCTCTGGGATCTGAGATTGAGGAAACCCCTCGATCCACATAACACCTCGCTCTTCTCAAAGCCCGTGCATTTTACTAATCGTAAACTGGCCAAAGGCACTGGTGTCTCCCTGCTCTGTGCACCCCTGCAGTGATATCTGGAAGTAAGTGGCCAGGCGGGTGATGAGGGGAGTGCAGTGGAGTTTCTTCAGCTCGGAAGCACTCTTGTCGAAAGTCCTCGCCACCACGGAGCCCAAGTGGAGGGGATGATCCCTCTAGCGCATAGACGGGATGAAGTACATGGCTCTCTTAGTGATGGCGCTGGCATTGTCCGAGGCAGGAGTGTAAGACTTGGCCAGCATGTGATGGAGGATGCGGTTGTCGAGCTGCAATGTGTTGGCCTTCGTTTTTCCCGCCCTGAAGGGAAGTTGACCTGGCCGAGCGAGGCAGGTGTATAGTGTCACGAAGTCCACCCCCGCTGACTCGGTGCTCTCGGTGATGTAGTCCCTGTCATCGATCAAGTTGAGGCCGAGGGCGGTCGCCAACTCGTCGTAGCTCATGGATCGTGGTTCACCGCCGAGCCTGAATTTGACGGCTTCACCGTCCTTCCAATCCTCCGTGTCTGCGTGCTTGAAGGTAGTGTAGAACTCAAGCACGAGCTCGTGGTAAACCTTCTCGCGAATGCTGAGTAGGCGGCGCCAGTAGCGGTTGGTGACAATGGAGGAGAAGTGCTCGTAGCAGTTCAGCTTCTCCAACTCTCGCTTGGACCAGCAATGATGCTGCCCAAACTTGCAGGCCAGGCGAGAGTTGCTGGTCTAAGCGAGAGTTGGATAGTTAGAGAGTTCCTGGTCCAAGCAAGAGTTGGAGAAGCTGAACTGCTACGAGCACTTCTCCTCCATTGTCACCAACCGCTACTGGCGCCGCCTACTCAGCATTCGCGAGAAGGTTTACTACGAGCTCGTGCTTGAGTTCTACACTACATTCAAGCACGCAGACACGGAGGATTGAAAGGACGGTGAAGCCGTCAAATTCAGGCTCGGTAGTGAACCACGATCCATGAGCTACGACGAGCTGGCGACCGCCCTCGGCCTCAACCTGGTCGATGACAGGGACTACATCACCGAGAGCACTGAGCCAGCGGGGGTGGACTTCGGGACACTGTACACTCGCCTCGCTCGGCCAGGTCAGCTTCCCTTCAGGGCGGGGAAGACGAAAGCCAGCATATTGCAGCTCTACAATCGCATCCTCCATCACATGCTGGCCAAGTCTTACACTCCTGCCTCGGACGGTGCCAACGCCATCACTAAGAGAGCCATGTACTTCATCTAGTCTATGCGCCAAAGGGATCATCCCCTCCACTTGGGCTCCGTGGTGGCGAGGACCTTCGACAAGAGTGCTTCCTAGCTGAAGAAACTCCACTGCACTCCGCTCATCACCCGCCTGGCCACTTCCTTCCAGATATCACTGCAGGGGTGCACAGAGCAGGGAGACACCAGTGCAATTGGCCGGTTTACGATCAGTAAAATGCACCTGCTTCGAGAAGAGTGAAGTGTTATGTGGATCGAGGGGTTTCCTTAACCTCAGATCCCAGAGGAGGTCCAGAGCTAGAACTTGCCGGTGGATCACTCAGAACAAAAACTTTACCAAAAGCAGAACTACCAAATTGATCCCCCACTGCCTTCTTTCTATCCCTGATCTTCTTATACGTTGGAACCACAGTGCTAACGAAACAACGATCTTGCCCCACAGTGATCCTATAGGGGTAACACACCAGCAAGAAGTGCATATCACCATCAACCGAAGACTTAACCTTCTGTAGACTATCAACCGAAGACTTAAATTTCTGTAGACTATCGCACACATGATCGCAAACATGCTGACACCAGTTGAATTGATTGAAGTACTGGATCATGTGTGGCTCCAGAAATTTCAAGTCCTCTGCTGTCACAACCCTTGATTGCACAGAACCAAGAAGTTTGCAAAAAACCAGCAAGATGTAGAGCTTCACCCACCGCTCATCATCAGCCTCCTTTTCCAGACATAATAGCAAATCATCATCCACAATATTTCCCTTCGTGCTACAAGTCGAAACAAATTTACGTCCCAATGTAGTCTTCGCACTTGCTTTAAGATCGAACTCAACAACATTTGGCCCCCTTGGAAGCCCATACACTCTATAAACATCGTCTTTAGTGATGAAAATCTTTTTCCCATCACCCAAATTGATGCACTTTGTGCCTTCATCCCACCGGTCGATAATTAACTCCAGCAGCTCGCTTTCAATATTCATCATCTTCATATGGAACACAAATCCAAAGCCCACATATTTTATCAGATCCACCCTATTGCTCTTCTTTTGGAGATAGGTTTATAACCGAGCGAGGGCTACATCTATGCTGTATCCTCCCGTTCTCAGTACTTTCCCCATTGTCCTTCTTAATACCCTCATATGAAATCATAGGTAAACGAGAACCGCTGCAATGGACCTTGCTCCTCGCTGTCGTTGCTTATGTGTGCCGTCGCTAATTTGAGGTTCCAAAATTCGGTATTTTCATTTTTTCAGTAAGTGGAACTCTGTTTTGTAGGAATGGCATTGTAGATTAGTGTTTTCTGCGCTATTGGGGTTAGATGAATGGATGGACTTGTACAGTTTTGAGTAGGCTCTGCAATGTCTTCTATTCTTGTACTTTGTCACCTTTTTTTTATACTTAGATCAAAATTAGCATTAAGGGCCTTATTCCATTCAAACTAGTGAGTGTTCTGCCGATTCAAGGACTTTGGTGTTTGTTTTATTTCAATAGCAAACCATAGCGATTTTCATTACAAAACCACTGCTATTATAATTACAAAGTGTTTACCTTTTCAATAGAAAGCACCACTACTTTAATTACAACCCCCGAGACTTGCATTAGAAGTTTACCAATGATTTCTCTCCCTTGTTCCCATTTCATTTAATTTCATTACAAGTATTATATTCAAGTCCTAATGGTTTTGTTATATTCTTTGTTTGCAGGTGATAAAAAGAGAAAGTATGGTAGTAGAGAACGAGTGTAAAGCTCGGGCAGATCACCGAAAGAAAGAGAACGAGTGTAAAGCTCGGGCATATCACCGAAAGAAACGCAAGACAGATGAGGGTATTAAGAAGGACAATGAGGAAAGTACCAAGAACGGGAGAATACAGCATAGATATAGCCCTTGCTCGGATATAAACCTATCTCCAAAAGATGAGCAATTCAGTAGAAGGGTGGACCTGATAAAATATTTGGGCTTTGAATTTGTGTTCCATATGAAGATGATGAATATTGACAGTGAGCTGTTGGAGTTCATTATCGACCGGTGGGATGAAGGCACAAAGTGCATCAATTTGGATGATGGGAAAAAGATCTCCATCACTGAAGACGATGTTTATAGAGTGTATGGGCTTCCAAGGGGGCCAAATGTTGTTGAGTTTGATCTTAAAGAAAGTGCGAAGACTACATTGGGACGTAAATTTGTTTCGACTTGTAGCACGAAGGGAAATATTGTGGATGATGATTTACTATTATGTCTGGAAAAGGAGGTTGATGATGAGCGGTGGGTGAAGCTCTACATCTTGCTGATTTTTTGCAAACTTTTTGGTTCTGTGCAATCAAGGGTTGTGACAGCAGAGGACTTGAAATTTCTAGAGCCACACATGATCCAATACTTCAATCAATTCAACTGGTGTCAGCATGTTTGCGATCATGTGTGTGATATCTACAGAAATTTAAGTCTACAGAAATTTAAGTCTTCGGTTGATAGTCTACAGAAGGTTAAGCCTTCGGTTGATGGTGATCTGCACTTCTTGTTGGTGTGTTACCTTGATAGGACCACTGTGGGGCGAGATCATCGTTCCGTTAGCATTGTGGTTCCAACATGTCAGGTATGGACGGATAAGAAGATCAGGGATAGAAAGAAGGCAGTGGGGGATCAATTTGGTAGTTCTGCTTTTAGTAAAGTTTCTATTCTGAGTGATCCACCAGTAAGTTCTAGCTCTGGTACTTTGAAGTGGGTTCCAATGCTAGTGTGGGATAAGATCAGTCGAGATGACAAGCTGGTTGAGGGTGCTAGTTCTGGAAGGGATTTCCCATATCATCAATTGAACTTGTCTGAAAAGAATGCTGATGAGGTGAGTCATACCTGCTTAATGTCTAGTTTGCATACTTCTATGCATTTTCCTTGTAACTTTAACACGTTATGTTCATTCTTTGACCTTTGTATGCATTCTGTTATTGACCTTTCTATTTTTGGTATTTGGTGATTAGTGGAAGGTTGAAAAGGGCAGTAAAAAAAATAAGCAAAGAAACCAGTGCGATGTACGTTTGAATGAACCTGAAGAAGAGATATTAGATGCCTCCATTGATGAACTGACTTGCCTCATCCTTTCGTCTAAAGATGATGCTGGAATTCAAACAAGGGAATAAACGCACCATGATTTTACCTTTGTTGCATTTTACTTATTAAAATCCCCACCATGCTTCAAACCGATATCTTCTAGTGATTCTTGAGGAAGTCTCCCTTCTGCATCAGTTTTCCTATAATGATAAAATAATGGATTAGGAAAAGAAAAAGACTGAACCTCCCATATGAGCAATGCACATCTCGTATCTTTTGCTAACCTTCTTTATACTTCTGCACCCACTAAGCTCTTTGCCTTCACAAACTTCTTCAAATCTGCGTTCACAGGCCTGCCTAGTCCATAAATTATAGACATTCATACCATTTGTAACTACCAAACCAAATATTCACACCAACCATATTCAGTACCCACAATCCAAAGTCAAAAAAAGCATAATACTAAAATTGACCATTTGGGAGTCTTCACTCAGAAAGAGGAAATGGGAAGGAATATTTACTTAGTTTCATCAATTATTAACAATGGGAAGTAGTGGAAAAAGATATGCACTTGAGGCTGAGGTTTAGAAAATGTCAAATTGTGCCCAAAATGTGCCCACACAGTTTAACAGTAGCTATTTGTTCAAAATTTTCACTGTTTTCCCTTATTTTGGGACTACTAACCTTCTCATTGGGTGGAAACATTCTGAAAATAAGAGATTGTACCAAGTCAAAGCCACCTGACCAAATTGTCTTCTTTTCTTGCTTAATGGTATAGGGTTCTCCATGCTACCAACAACGACCTGAACAGAATGTCTAGTGTTAATAAAAGATGTATCCATTAACATCCTTCAGTTTAAGCAGGGTACTGTTCCAGGTTGTAAAGAAAGTTTTGCTATTACCTATAAGCAAACAATCTTAACCTTATATGCAGCCTGCCTTCTGACTGTCAATCGGAAACAAAGAAGATATAGTCGCTGTTAGGAACTCACCTACTATCCATCACTATAGAATAAAAAGAATAATTAAGAAATAAATGAAGGAGACCACGACATCATCAATAAGCTAAAGGTGATGAATTTCCTTCAATATCATGATATCATATTGAGGCTCCCTTACCACTTGAAAGTTGTAAGCCCTAAAAGTTCTTATACTATCATGTTCAAAGGAGAAAAAGGGATCAATTAGTACTAACTAATCTGACAATGTAGACATTCGAAAAGGTGTTGAAGAAGATGAAAGCGCGGAGCAGTTTTTGGGTTTGATCACAAATTTTTGGTCAGTTTTGCACTCCTGTGGAAGCTAGTCACTAAGTGTTAGACAGATATCCGCTAGACTTTGCACTTGATGTGCCTCTGTCAAATGGGATTTTGGATAGCTATACTTCACGCAAAACAAGATGAAATCACACGTGTAGAACTTTCTTTAGAGCTGCAGGTATCTACACCAAGCAATGACAAGATGAATTAGCCCCAAGTAAACAACAATTTTGAAGAAATGCAACCAATAAAAAACAAGAAGAAAACAGACGACCCAAATACCAAAAGAGACTTTGTTCAACTTCATGCTACATTAAGACTTCACTACAGGACCCAAATACAAAACCTTACTGATAGAAAAATAGCTAATTAATTAAATAACCTGGGCATTCATATGTATGTTTAACTAACCACTTGAATTTCCCTCTAGCATTATATCTAAGTTCACTAAGACTAAGATATGTAGCAGATTATTATCATGCATACATCAACATACCAATGAGGATAAAAAGGCAGTTTTCTATTGAACTATCATGATGACCACGATACAAGCCATGTAACAAACACTATTTTATAGTTAACATGGGAGAAGATGATCATTGCACATTCAGGGGCTAGTTGTTAGCCGGAGAGACCTTACCTTCATGGATTTTTTAAACCTACATTTTCATGCTTAAATCATTCATATAACTTGTAGTTGCAAAGCCAAAAATGCACAGCATGGCTTGAGTTGAGCTATATCATCGGTACACATCGGCAGCAATAGCTTCAACTTGGAGATTTGGATAAAGGAAATACTACTACACCTGAAAAGACAGAGAAATTTGCAGGGGAAAGAATGTTATCAACATAATTCTTCTGAAAAAGGCCAATTACAAGACATCACAAGAAGAGTTAATTAAATCAATCCAACATTTGCAGAGTACAACCATGCAAGTAGAAACCATAACAAATCCAACAGGCACTTCTCTAACTTAAACCAGATAAGTTAAGAAGCAATACACATAAACTGAATTGAGGAGAACTTCTCTAACTAAACTAGAAGGTCATGAGAAAAAAAAACTCAAAGAAAACAAAAGTCACAATACCAAAGGAACACCTATAACTACAACTATGTGATTATGTCCCGTTATATCAATCAAGTTAAAGAAAATGACAGGAAAAAGAGGGAAAAGGAAAGGAAAATCATGCAAGCCCCATCTATAGAACATAAGCTTAACTCTGAATTAAAATACAGAAGTCGATCCTTACAATTTCCACAATTAGTTCCAAGTTCCAACTACTCCCATTCATTAGAATCATTCTAGGGTCACTAGAATTCAATAAATAGCAAACCCTAATTACCTCTTACAAGCACCGACTTTAATTGAGTGCTACACATCCCGCTTCTCCTCAACGCATAACCCAAGCATGAAATTCATCTCCATCCTCTGCAAAACTGAAACTTTCAATTGCTTGCCGACTCTGCCTATGCTAAAAGATGACGGCGCAACCAAGAGAGAGAAAGAGAGTCACCGAAAACCTAAATCAAATAAAGAGAAAGAAAGCAAGAAATCAAATAGACGAGTTCTTACCATCGGATGAGAATAGATACATGCAGAACTAGGGAGACGCAAAATGGATGCCGAACCAGGATTCCACAAGGTTAGAGCTCAAGGCGGAAGAAAGAGAGTTGGCTGGAGATGTTTTCGAGGTTGTAAGCTATCAGAGGTCTAATTTCAAGTCGCGAAGGTCAGATGAAGAGGGGCAACGACCATGGATTTTGTCAGAGATTGGGGCTATCGTCTGCGGTAGTGTTAGGGTTCGAGTCGATTTGCTGGAGTAGGGGAAAAAAGAAATTCAATTTGGGGAAGATAGAAGAATCAGGGAAACACTTTACCTTTCAGCAAATTGGAATTGGGCTTCTCACCGGGTGTAATAACCGCCGGTGAATACGCTGCCATAGTTACAGATAATTAAAGCCCGGCAGTGGTTAAGAAAACCTCTGAAAGGAAACACCTGGGCTAGGTCCATTTCCTTGTAGTGCTACCATCATCCACGGCATACTCTTCTATCCAAACCAAATCCATTGAGGTTAATAATAGATTTTGAATAGAAAATTGAGGAGGATAGCCATATAGAGATTCAAATAAGGTAGTGTGTAAGATGCTATAATGGTATTGTAAAAAAAAAAAGATGCTATAATGGTTAGTGTAATACCACCATTCAGTCAAGGATAACCAAGAAGTCCCCTGCCAAGGTGAATGGTGCACCAAACTTCTCAAGTAGTCTTCTATACACCTATCTACTCTTCCTGACTTATCAGGTAGTCTTCCGGACACCTTTTTTTATACTCGTGAAATATATTAAATAGAAAAGCAAAAGATTAAGAAAAAGATCCAAAGTTTGACACACAAGCTCGTCACAAGGGGAACAAAGAAAAACAACAAAGCAGCCTAAAAGGCCCTGAAAAAACACAAAAGGCCATGTCAACAGATCCAGACGCCTATTCAGTCTTTCAATTTTGTCATCTGTTTGTGGGTGATAAGTTGTAGAATAAGTTAGGTCAACACCTTGGAGCTCAAAGAGTTTAGTCCAAAACACATGGGTGGACATAGCATCCTGGAGACAATAGTTTGAGGCATGCCATGCAACTTGAAAACTCCATCAAAATATATTTGAGCCATTTTAGTAGCAGCAAAGGGTTTGCAATGGCTGAAGAAATGATCGTACTTCGAAAATCTATCAATGATAATAAAAACTACATTTTTACCTAATGATTTAGACAAGGCGTTGATAAAAATTCATTGAAATGTGTTTCCAAGCCTTGACTAAAATGGGAAGTGGTTAGAGTAAACCGGGATAAGGCAAATTCTTAGTTTTGTGCCATTGTTAAACATGACACTCATCTACAAACAATGTCGACTATTACGTCATACTTGGCCACCAAAAGTATCTCTTCAACCTTGGTAAGTTACTTGAATACCAGAATGTCCTCCCACTGGAGTATCATGGAACAACTTCAACAGTTGCAATCTCATCTTCCTCGCAAATCCTACATAAAAAGTGCCTTATGGTAAAGTAAACCTTGTTTGACTGAGTTGACTCAAGGACCATCAAATGGAATCACAGCCTTTTTCATGAGATGTTGCCACACTAGATCACCCATATGAGAATCTTGCCACGACTGGTAAGCCTCGATCATTACTCGTATTGTCAGGCCATTAAGGTGGCCTAACCATGCCAAACTTTAAAATTTTGTAAGGTGTGAACTATATACCCCATGACAAGACATGGAGGTGATGGTGAATGGCATGGAGTATGATTAGTAGTAGTTTGGATTAACTAGGGGGCATGATGTTGTTCTAGCCCAATAACTTCAAAAGATACCACGTCGTGTGATTTAAGAGTGACCATAACTGTTGGTGGTCACAGTGGCATGGGGGGCACGGTTGTGTCGAGATGGAAGGACTATGGAATAATTATGTTTGACTCCCTTCCTTCCTCCCGCACGGCAGCAAAGGAGAAGAGATTGGGATTATTTTGGTCATTTAAATTGTAAGGCCAACTATTTGAGTTTGATGGCCTAGTTGGTGTGAAACTACTTAGTCCATAATTCTTATGCTCTAGGTAGTTCGGGGGCATTTGTTTACCCATAAAAATTAACCTTGTACCACATTGGTTAAAAACAAGGAATTAAATGGCTTTATAAGGCCAACTTAATCATATCAGTTTAAATCAGTTGAGTGGGCCATGAGGATTTAGTTTTTGGGCACATTACTCCGTGCCACCACGCATGCCATGCATCCCCAAATTTGGCTAAGTATGGGAGCCATCCCCATGACATGCAGAGGGGGTGGCCATCATATCTCCACCCCCAGGAGGTACCAAGGGGGTGGGCATCATATCGTCACCCCAAGGAGGTACCGAGGAGGGTGGCCACCATCATACCACCCCCAGGACGTGGCAAGGGGGTGGGCATCATATCGCCACCCCAAGGAGGTACCAAGGGGGGTGGCCACCATCATACCACCCCCCAGGACGTGGCAAGGGGGGTGGGCATCATTCAGCCACCCCCATGACATGGTGAGGGGGTGATGGCCGAATTCGGCTAAGGCGAGGAGTATGGGAGTCAACCCCCAGGACGTGGCAAGGGGGGTGGCTATCATATCTCCACCCCCAGAAGGTACCAAGGGGGGTGGCCACCATCATACCACCCCCCATGGAGTGTTCATGGAGTAGCGTGGGATCACCACCCCCATGAGGTGTGAAATACGACTAAGTATGGTGAGGCAAGGAGGCACCATGATATGACACGAGGGTGATCACCAAGAATGGCAAGGAGAACCCCCATGAGATGATCAGGGGGTGGCCATCAACACACCCCGCTATGAGCATGCAATTCCCATGATATGATCACCAAGGATGGCAAGGAGAACCTCCACGAGATGATCAGGGGTCAGGGGGTCACCAACATACGCCCCCATGGTATGGCCAAGGGGCGTGGTCAACATCGCCCCCCATGTGGTTGCCAGGTGGGGGTACCAAGACACCACCATCATGAGGTGGTCAAGAGGGGTCATCTGAGCACGTGGTCTCCCTACTCTTGTAATGGTGAAGTATTTTTGCCATTTTGACTCAGGTGGTTCGAGTACCCACCCATATGTGGCATGTGGTCTGCTTTCATGCTTTAGCCATTTTTTCTCTATAGACAAGCAAAGCTATGGAGGAGATACCAAGAGCATGGAATGAGGTCTCAAGAGGAGGGGCCAAATTGGGTCCCACATCCAACATCAGGGTAACCGTCATAGCAGTTGAGAGGGTAACCGTCACTCCACGTCAGCAGAGCAGTTTCTTAGGGCAGTTACTTCTGGTGGCTATAAATAGGAGGTGAAGATGACAGAGAAAGGGGTCGCAAAAATCACAACTCGACACTACTTGTCAAGTTTTATCTTTTTATCTTTTCCTTTGCAGATTTTAGCCATAGTCGTAGTTTTTGAAGCTCTCACTGAACCTCCATAGGAGTAGGGTTAATTTAATGTAGATTTGCCTCGTAGTTTGTAACACCCTGACAGTTGAGTTCAGGTTCGATCATGATAAATTATCGATTGGATAGACGATTACGTACGAATGGTTACAATTGCGAATTAGGAATAATAATAATAACATATTATTATTATTAGTAAAACAAAACAAAAACAAAAAAAGAAGAAAAACCCACCCCACCCCACGTTAACCCCACCCCAAATAAAACCCCCTGTTACACACATCACCTCTCCCGTGACCCAATTAAATCCCCACCCGTCCCAATAGAGAACCAACGGGAAACACCGCCAGCTCCTCGCTTAATGGTCATCAACCACCAACACCATTATCCCACACCACGTTAGCTCTGCAGAACCCCATTCTCACTTATGTTAAAAGATATAATTTTATATGCTCCTTTCACAAAACCTACATCTTCAACTGATCCCTTCCACATTTACAGAACCAATAGTGAGCTAATGTCCAAAAATAAAATCACAGCGCTCATATATACACCAAGAGTTCAAGACCCATCTGCTCCTTCCTTCCTATTTACATAAGCAGCAAATTAGAGAGAGGGAAGATAGCCTCACGCCTTCTCTATCTTTTTGCGTCACCATCTCCCTGTAAGAGATCAAAACCTGTCGTACAAATAGTCACCAAAACATCCTCCTATCTCGTCCTCCCATCATCATCGAATTCCCTCCCTTCTCGTTGCTTTCGCCCGCCAACGTCTCATCGTCGCCATCATCGCCATCAACGGAGGGGGGACACAACCAGTAGCTTCCTTCGTTGTAAACTTCCACTCTTTCACAGTAACTAGGTAAGAACGATGACTTCGTAGCTCTCTTCAAGCGTCAAAGCTACGTAATTAACTAACCATGGTTGTTTCCGTAGTTTCGGCGACGAAAGTACGAGACGAACAAAGGATGATCTCAGCAAGAAACAGAAGTTCTACTCACTAGGAACTAGGTATAGGAACGCCCAAGAGGTAAGCGAACCCGATACCTCTCGTCAATTTCGACGTTTAAGTTAATTATACGAGTTGTGAAATTCTGGGAATTAGTGACAAAACTTACAGTCTTTTAGTAACGGAATTTTGGTTGTATCTAAAGACTGATGGTCTATTGTCCAGATCAGTCCCCCATGTATTCATTACATACAGCTTAGTCCCTCAGAGTTTTAAGTTTTGATAATTTGGCCCGAAAATCGTAATTTTCATGGTTATGTTATCTTCCGACACATTTTCGTGCGTATTTTCATAATATGATAATTTTATAAATTTGAGATTATTTGTATGATGCTCGTGTATAAATTTTAGAATTTTTGGATCTGCATTTGTATTTATAAAAATTGAACGAATGTTGGTTTTAATTAATTAAAATACTGTACGAAGTCGTTTTGGTGATTTGATAATTTTCCATGAAACTAGGATTATCTATTGATGTTATAAAATTATGAATCAGAATTATTAGTTTTTTTGACTCGGTTTAAAAATTTTATATGATTAAGTTTAATAGGAAAAAGAGGTTATTTAAAAGAGGGGCTTATGTTTATTAATTGGGATTAATGATTTGAGTTAACCAAGGTCAGAATGTGGAGTTTTAAGGGGAAAATATATTTTGAGAAGTTTATGAGAATTGTATGAGAATTATTTTAAGAAATATTGAATTGCTTGAGATGATTTAATTTTTGATTAAAGAGGTTGAAAAGTTTAGTTTTGAAGAAATGATTTAAAAGAGATTGAGGGCCATTTTTAAAGGATTTTGGGACTAAGTAATCAATGAGGGAAATTTTCCCTAGTACGCCAAAGTGACTAAAATATTATGATTACCGACTAAGGGAAGATAATTTCGGTTTATAGGATTAAGGGAGCAATCAGATTAAAGATTTCACGTCAAGGGAACTAAGAATCGTCAGTTGAGAGGTGAGTGGTTTAAGGGGGTAAATTCTACGCCTTACGTATTTTCAAGTATTTGACTTACGAGTTTTAAGTATGTGTGTTGATGTGAATTGTATGTCAGTGATTGATTTATGTCGTGATTGATAAAGCATGTTTTATTTGATATATTATCTGAGATGCTCTATTTGAGTTATGATTGTGAAGTATATGATTATTTTAGCTTTCGGTATTTACTTGAAGCTTTTATATTATGTTTATTTAATGAAGGTTGCTTGATCTTTAAGGATCAACATTTAAGAGGTATTTCACTCCTAATTAAATTAGGGTGAAAAGATTTAAAGGTAGTTCACTAACGCTAGTCCCCCGCCCCAGTGAAAGTTAAAAGAAGAGCAAGTTTGCTCTTAAGGAACATGTGGATGAATCACTTAGACATCACATGAAATTTAAAGGAAGAGTATGATATACTCTTATGGTTTATGGGGTTGAATCGATTACTCCCATAAAAAGGTTTAAGGAAAGGCCTATGTTGGCCCTCATACGTATGAGCTGGGCGGCTGGACTAGTTAGTGAGGGGATCCCAGTGTCGGTCAAATGTTTAATATTTTTTTAGAGTGGTGAGTAACAATAACTCCCACGTTTTAAGAATTTAAGTTTAAAGGGTGGAAGTATAAATAACTTCCACGGGTTTTTGAGGTGAACACTTAAGGGAATACCCGTAAGTGCTTCAAGTTTAAGTAATGGCGTAGACTGACCCCAACCCACTCACCAGGTCGTAGAGGAGGAGCTAGGGAGCATCCAGTCGAGGAGCATCCAGTGAGAGAGCAGGCTACCCGAGGAGGACCACGTGAACACTTCTGAAGATGTCTGACCACGGATCGGAGTAAACAGCATTTGTATCTTTAGTTATTTGATTTATGATTATGAGTAATGTCTGGAGATTTAAAAGGGTAAGACTTTATGGATTGAGGTTTGCCCAAATGTTAGGGCTTTGCTTTTAAATTATAAGGTGTATTCTCAGTATTGGTATTTCGAGCACATTATTGTTTCTTTCTTTCAAAATTTTAAATATGCTCCGGAGCAAAACTGTTATTTAAGGATTTTAGAGATCGGGATGTCACATAGTTCATCAAAACATTGAAAACCCTTGTTTGAACTTTGTTCAAAGAGGTGTGAACTGTATTGTTTGATCGTTTGTTTGGAAGTCAAAGGTGCAAAATCCAATTCTGTTCATCTAGTTTTTCTCGCCGGGAAAACAGACACCGACCAATGACATGAAAGCTAGGCCTTTATCTATGTTTATGGTAATTGCGTTTAAAAGTAATGAATATGGACTAAGATTGTGTTGCATGCATGATTGTTAAACCATGTTTGAAATGAATCCGACGGTAACTGACTATCCTATCAAGTTTACACATTCGATTTAGCTTAAAATTGATCAAATTGGGTCAAGAACATCAGGTTCTATTGGATGGTTCGATTCGGTCTGGACCAAATCGATGCCCACCTCTAGCTGCTGGAGATGCTCTGGCTGCTGTAGAAGGAGTTGCTGTTGATGCCCTGGCTGCATTAAATGCTCTTTATGGTTTTGATGAGGGTGATGCTATTCTTTAAACTCTCGTTAGCATTTGTTTTTGGTTGTTTTCAGACTCGACTTTTTTGGATGCTTGTTGAGAATTTTTGTTGTTGGTTTTGGACTTTATGATTTGGATGTAAGACGTTGAGTCTTCTTTGTTGAATACTTTTTGTTTAGAACTCCTCTATTTCCATTTGTCTCGAGACAGATTGTTCCTATTTTTGCAGGCAACAGGTCAATATGCAATCTCAGATTTAGGGGGAGATTGATGGACGAAAATCCGAGATTGCATCCTGGGTCTTTTATGGAAAGAAGAAATCAGCTCCTGGAATTATGATGAATCAACGTCTTTCCCTCCTCCATCGATGGACTACAACAACTAGGGGTGTTCAAATGGTTACCATGATAATTACCAAACCAAATACAGTCTAAGAAAGAAGACCAGACTGCTAGTAGAACCTTGGTTGTGTTTAGTTGGGCAGGAATAACCGTTAAGCCCACTTTTGTTCTTTCTATTCTCCCTTCTCATTGTATGGGCTTAAAAAATATTGGGTCCAGATAGAAGTCAAAGTTGAATTGGGAGATTTGAGTTATAGGACTCAGTCAACTCTCACTCTTCGATTTGCCTTCTTACGAATCTGTTCTTACCAATTTCAAAAACCCTAAAATCCCATTTCAATTTTACGTTTTATGTTTAATAAAGTATGAATTAATTTACCAAATGCAAAATGGATCCACCTACCAATTCAGCGACGGAGATCAAAGGAAACGGATCACGTCAGTAACCATATGGTCAGTAACTATGAGTAACCCGTCCACATCAGCATGATATCAGTATCCCCCTCTCTCCTGGAAAGTCTTTTTTTTCTCTTTAATCTTTAACGGACGATTTCTCTCTCGTTTTAAGTTGATTTTTTTTTGCACAGATAAATCAGATTAAATAATGTGCTCTTTAAAATGATATCCACTTTGATATATTTTTAGTACAAAAAAAAAATGAATACTTTTTTACCAGTCATTACCAATGGTATGCTCCTATTTAATACCATATGGTAAGAAAGTGTACCATGATGGTATGAACATACCAATATGGTAAGAATGTTGAATACATGATAGTAAAAGTATACTAACTGTCATTTACGACTTTCATTATTGTTTACTACAAGTTACCACAAGTTACCACCCATATACCATTATGAGTGATAATCGGTTGCCGGTTATCCGGCTTAACCGAACAACCAAACCGTCGGTTTATAACCGAAACTGATAAGCTGCTGTCGGTCTCGGTTGCGCTTAACTGATTTTGGCCTTTACGCTAACCGGAAACCGTCGGTTACAAACCGAAATACTTTCGGTGCACCGCTATAACCGGCGATTCCTCTCCCCCTCTTCTGCATCGCAAATTCGCTTTCCACTCCAGACCTCTCCCTCTCTTCCTTCTCCAAACATGTCCCTCTCCCTTCCTCTACTTCGCCATACCCAACTCTTTCCTTCCCCAGACCTCTCCCTTCCTTCTCGAAACATCTCCCTCGCCATCCCCAACTCCTTCCTTCCTCTAACTCGTCGCCCCCTCGCTCCGCCTCCCAATCCAGAGGTCGATTTCAAAGCGGCGATGGTCGTTGCTCCACCTCCGCCTTGCATGGTTCGAGCGGCAACGGATTCAGATCCACACCTCTGCCTCTGTCGCCGATCAAGAACTCCGACCATGTATGCTCGTCGCTCCTCCTCTGCCTTCGGCAACGGATTTAGATCCAAATCCTCCTCTCGACGCTCTCTCCTTTTCCTCCCTCATCTACCTCGATTCACGGACTCAGATTCGGATTTGACACCCACGTATGCTCGTCGTCGCCCGTCATCTGCGTCCGACGGGTCTCTCTTCTTCCTCTGCCGATGGTTCAAAATTGGGATTTTTCGGTGACATGCACAGCGATGGTGGTGGTCGGAGGTGGTGTGCATCGGTCTCTGAATAACCGTCGTTTGAAACCGAAACCGACGGTTGCGGTTGTCGGTGTTGCATCTTTCTCGGTGTCGGCTAACCAACTTTGCGGTTTGGTTAAAACCGAAATCGCACCGCTAACAGGCCTACATACCATAGTGGTAAAGTATGATAATTTTTTGTCCAATATTTTTTTCACCCAAAAATTTATAGATCCAATAGATCATGATGAACTCATTCCTTCTGAGCATACGTTTTCAAAAACGACTTAAAAACGAAGAAGTTACCATATGGTATGTAGTTAGTAAAAAAAAAGTTCCTCAAAATATACTGCACAGATAGGATTGCATACTTGGTCACCCGATGTTATGGAGGGTCCCACTCCAGTATCCGCTTCGATTCATGCAGTTGTCCATCTGTAATAGAAATTACATTGGTAGTTGAAAATTTATCTCAGTTTGTAGAGCACAACGAACTCGTTCCATCTGTGAAAAAAAAATTGAAATCCGAGTTAGAATGAAGAATATAAGAGCCGATTAAGAAAACTAGGGAAAATAAAATTTCTTTAATTGACAATCCTTAGATTTGAATTTTCTGGACCCACTTAGATCTAAAGGTTCAGATTTAGTTACTCATAAGTCAGTAACTAATGATTACTGACCCTATCCAAAACCGAGATCAAACTCTGCCATCTATTTTGAAAAAGTCTTCCACGTTCCAAGTTCCAACATCGGAGCACTTTTTTTTTTACAAAAGATAGTTATATATCGATCAAACCATAAGAGAGTTACACCCTGGATTGCAGCCAGGTATGGAAATCAAAGAAACGACTCATAGTCGGGTACAAAGAAAGGTCCTTTCTAGCCACCAAATGGGCTACCCTATTGCTACGCCGACCTACAAATCGAACACAAAACTCAGATTGGGGACCAAAATACTCCACAGTTTCTTCAAGAACAGCCCCAGTCTGGTTGTCTCTGGTGTTTGTGTGATTAATCATATCTATGACCACCTTGGCATCCCCTTCGAAAATGACGTTCGTAAATCCAAGCTCCAGACACCAAAGAATCGCTGCCCGGAGAACCAGTAATTCTACCACCATAGGGTCATCAATCACCGCAAAGTGGACACCTTTAACCAAGAGAATCTCCCCCATAGGCGACAAGAGCACAATTCCCCCGCCGAATGGGACCCACTCTTAGTGGCGCCATCGCACTTACAAACAAGCCTATCTCCGCCTACCAGATCCAGACGTTGCGTTCCCAAGGGACACATAACGTGAGGAGGGCTAGTGGGCGGCAAACTCATCCATTCCTCATACTGTTGATAAAACTGGCGCATTAACACAAGGAAGTCGAACTGCTTGCCCTCAAAGACCACCCAGTTGCGAGATCGCCAGATCCTCCAGAGAACGCCTACCACTGCCATGAACAGAGTGGGCTGATTAATCAAGGCCATCAACTTCTTTAGAAACAATGGGAAAGTATGTCGAGCCAACCCCTCTCCCAAGTAGTCCAACCCCGAATAGTCCCATAGCGCCCTCGCGACTGGGCAATAGAGAAATAAGTGCTCCATCGTCTCCGCACTAGCCCAGCACACCGGACATCGAGGATTGACTGGGATCTTCTTCTCAATCAGAGCCTCCATAATGGGCAGGGCCCGGTTAAGGATTTACCAGACAAAAACCTTCAATTTAGGGGGGATATTAGCATTCCACACCCTGATCCAGCTAGCCTTATCCATCCAACTGGCCAGCGACTTCCAACTACCCCTCCTTCTATCAAGGGAGACAGCCAGATGATAAGCAGACTTTACAGTGAAAACCCCATCCCTTGTGTCATGCCAGATCAACCTGTCTTCCACATTCCGTCTTGGGAGGGGGATTGCTTTAATGGCACGACAGGTAGGCGGGTCAACCACAGACTAAGTTTGGTGTCACACCAGCGCCCCTCCCCTTGGCAGATCACTTCAGCAACCTTCGGGTCACCTCCAGCAGGAAGAATCTGCGGATTATAGCACGGTGGTCAAGCTGGAGACGAGGAACCCAATTGGAGTGAAGGAGGGAGGCAGTCTTGCCATTCCCAATTTGCCAACGAAGACCCACCTCCAACAGCTGGCGCCCATACATGATACTTTGCCAACCCCAGGATGGTCGAGATCGTGGCTTAGCCCGAAGAAAAGTCCCGTTGGGGAAATATTTGCCTTTATAGACCTGGGCCAGAAGGGACTGGGGTTCATAGAGAATACGCCAACCAATCTTAGCCAACAACGTCTGATTAAACTGCTCAAATCGGCGAAACCCCATCCCCCCCTCATATTTACTTCGACACATGTTCCGCCAGGACACCCAGCGAACTTTGGAGTGACCCTCATTAGCACTCCACCAAAATCGGGCAACATGTTTGTCTAACAGATGACAAAGGGAAAGAGGCAATTTGAAGCAGGACATCACATGAAATGGCAACGCTAAAGCAATTGATTTAATCAGGGTTTCCTTGGCCGCCCAAGACAAAGTCTCTTGTTTCCACCCTTTCAGTTTCTCTAACAACTTCTCCTCCAAGTAACGAAAAGTCGCCGTCTTCGATCGGGCAATCAGAGTTGGCAAGCCCAGATATTTATCATGGACCCCCACTGCCCCAACCCCTAAAATAGTGGCCAAAAACTCTTGATCAGGCAAAGCAATATTCTTGGTAAAACAGACCGCCGACTTTTCCAAATTTACACGTTGGCCACTAAGCTCCTCATACTCTTTTAATTCTTCAATCAGGTTCTCACACTCCTGAAGAGTTCCCCGCAGAAATAGATATGAATCATCAGCAAAGAACAAGTGGGAGATTTTCGGTGCACGAGGAGCCACCTTAACCCCATCAAGTTTCTTCTCCGAGATTGCCTTACGAAGGAGCGCAGCAAACCCCTCAGTGCAGAGCACAAATAAGAGAGGGGAAAGGGGATCCCCCTGCCGTAATCCACGGGATGGAGTGAAGTAGCCCGCGGGAGAACCATTCATTAAAACCAAAAAAGAAGATGATCTGAGGCATTCATGAATCCACCCCTGCCACACCGAACTAAACCCATCTTATGCAACACCGCAAGAAGAAACGGCCATTCGACTCTGTCATAGGCCTTTTCCATGTCAACCTTTAGAGCCATGTACCCTTTCGTCCCTCGTGTTTTAATTTTGAGATAATGCATTAGTTCGTGACCAAGGAGGATATTATCAATTATCTGCCGCTCACAGATAAAAGCATTTTGACCATCCGAAATGATTTGTGGTAAGAGGCTAGAGAGACGCTCAGCCATGATCTTGGTTATAATCTTATAAACAAACTGGCATAAGCTAATTGGGCGCAGCTGCCGCATATACTCCACATTATCCACCTTGGGAATCAAGGTTAGCCAAGTATGGTTGAAACTGCGGAGCATCCTACTCGTTGCAAAGAACGAGCACACTGCCTCAATTACTGAGTCACCAACCACATCCCAGAAAGCCTTAAAGAACTTTCCCGTGAAACCATCAGAACCAGGAGCCTGTTTCGATCCCATCATAAAGACGGTTTTCCGCACTTCGCTTGGCAAGACTTCTGCCGTCAGAGTAGCATTCATTTCAGGAGTGACGCTACGAGAGATGGGTAAAGCCGCCACCCTCTCCGCCACATCAGGGACTTGAGTCTCCGAGGTAAATAGATTTTGATAGAACTCCGTAGCAATAGTGGCCTTTCCTTTTTCCTCCGTTGCCCACTCTCCAGCTTCATTGTGCAACCCGGCCACAAAATTCCGTTTCCGACGAGTTCTTGTCACCGTGTGAAAATAGGAGGAGTTTTGATCACCTTTTTGTAGCCATCAGACCCTTGACTTTTGTTGCCAATAAATTTCTTCAGTTTCCCACTGGCGAGAGAGCTCCTTCTCAAGGCTACGAATCGACTCCCAGTCAATAGGGCGGATTGATTTGATACGATCAATCTCCCCTTGAAGAGTTTTAATGTTACGAAGGGAGTTCGTAGTCCCTGCCCTACTCCAATCATAGAGAAGATGGTGTAATTGTTTCAGACGCTCCCATAGTCGAAACATGAGGGTACCTTTAATGTTCACCTGCCATATATAGTTGACCATGGCTCTGACCTTCGGATTATCCGCCAGCGGGCATCAAAACGGAACAGTGGTCTGGAATTACGAGTATAAGCCTTATCGGAGAGGAGAAGAGCGCGATGATCAGAACCCTGGTCCGTGAAATGTTTCACCAGGGTCTCAGGGAAAGTGTCAATCCAGGACAGGGAGCAAAGCGCCCTATCCAGTCTCTCACGAATACAAGAAGCCCCCATACGCTTGTTTGTCCAAGTGAATTGGTCTCCCTGATAGCCTGGGTCATGGAGGCCCAACTCGTGGATAAACTCACACAGGCTAAGAGATTGAGCAGCATTCCAGGCATTCCCACCATCTTTTTCCCCCTAATAAAGGGTAGCATTGAAATCACCAATGACAACATAGGGAAATTGGATCATACTACAAATTTTGTACAATTGGGCCAATTGGACGGCTCTAGTGGTCACATCGCAGCTAATGTAAACCGACACCACAACATAAGAAAAATCAACTTCATTAATCTGAGTGCAAATACAAAAGTTTGAATGGAAAAACACTGAGGCATAAACCTCTGGGGACCAAGCCACTGCTAACCCTCCCGATGCATCAACAAAGAAACAATTAGAAGAAAGAAAACCCAAACCCCACAAACGACGGGCTACAACTTTGCGGCTCGATCGCGTTTCTGAAAAAAAACACGAGATCCGGTTTATTAGAACGCACTAGACCAACAGCAGTTTGGAATGTAAGGGATGGTCCAATTTCTCTCACATTCCAGGCAAGAAGCCTCATTTAACTGGTTGGGGCCACTCCAGGCTGGCTTCCTCCACCTTTTCTGATCCATCTTTTTCCTCGACGAATTGCCGTTTTGAGGTTGGGTTATCAGCCATCCCCCCATCTATTTATGCAAATTGACGTTTCTTAAATCCCACATCTGGATCAAGCAAATTGGTCCCATACTCATTAAGGGAGATTTCTTGAGTATTATCATGCCCATCCATACCCTCACTAGCCTTGTGCTCCCCATCACCTACCACCCCCTCATCCTCTCCCATTATCAATCCCTGCTCAAAAGCCCTAACCACCTGACTAACTTTAGAGGAATGGGCTAGACGCCTTAGTTTCCCCTTGATGACAGGTGTGCGGCGTCGAAATTCAAAGGTTTGACCCTCACTGTCCGAGACTAGCTCGTCCGACTCCCTCGGGTCGGTGTGACCTTTAGTGGGTACCAAATTCGGCAACTCAGACCCGCCAGGTGATGCCAGCTCCACCTCCACAGCCGCTAGTGAATCCTCCCCTCGAGTCGAAGAGTACTCGTTCGCATCACCCTTCGAAAATTTAACAGGTTTGACAGTACGATTCGTCGCCTTTGTCTTGGGAGGTCTCACTGATGGCTTAAGCACTCGCGAGGAAGGATCAGTCTCATTTTGCACTTTGGGAGCAAGGAGAGGTAACGCCTCCTTTCCCAGCCTTTTCCCCTTCCTTCCATTCTCCTTTTGGCGAGCAGCCACCGTTGACAACACTGGATGGCCACCTTCAGTCTGACCAGGCATCCGCGGGGCGCCCTCCTGCCAGTTAGGCGAAATTCCCTGGAAGAGACATTCATCCTCTGACTCCTCTTCCAGTATGAGTCTTCTCCGGCGGGTTATCTCCCTTACCTCAATCTGGGGCTTCAAACCGGGAGCTGGGTCCTTGACCCGACAGGAGGCATCCTCTCCCCGATTCGGCCTCGTCCACAGGAGCAACCGCCACCCGCGGCGGTTTAGTGGTATCCCTCCGTCGATGCATCATTTGGGTCGGGTCCTAGCGGTCATCAATCTCCATCGGGCTACCCATGGACATGCCCTTCCCCTTGCCGCGACGTCTCTGCCTCCCCATGGAGATTTTGGGAACCTTAGAGACCGGGAAACGACGGGGACTCCTTCCTTGATTGATGGTGCGGGTCTCCATAGTGATGAATGGATTATCCGAAGATCCCATCCATTTCGGACTATCCTCCACAATTGGGATTTTGGCCGAATTGGGTTTCTTCTGCATCATGCTTCCTTTACGCCGATCAGTGTTAATCTCCACACCACTTTGGTTCCGAACATTGGTATTCACCCATACCGAATTAGATTGACCATGTAGCGTTGATCGTTCTCCATTTCATCAAAGACTTTTCTGCCCATCTTTTTGGTCATCATGTGAGGACCAAACCTTTCTTTCCTTATAGGAGGGTCAAAGCTACACGTCTGCCGAAAATGCCCCACTCTGCCACAATTGTAGCATAAGCTGGGGAGGTGTTCATATTTGAAGCGGATCCAAAATGACCCCATCTCGCCATTTGTTGCCATAATTTGGGAACGAAGTGGTTTGGAGAAATCAATAAGCGCCTTGACCTTAATGAAGCTGGTGGCCATGTCCATGCAAGTAAAAACGCCAGCTTCAAGAACTCGGCCAAGGGTGGAATTCACAAGCTTTCTTCCGAATTGCTGGGTGCAACAGTCTTCTTGCACGTCCCACAATTGAACTCGAAATGGAGCAATCGCCAGATCATCGAAGGTTCGGGCAGTAATATTTGGTACCCATGCATGCAGGTGAAGGATTATATCCTTAATCACCCACGGAGTATGTTGGAGTACCCAATTCGTTGCAGCTTCATTCGGGAGTGTGAACTCGTACAGATCGTGTGCAACCTCCCGCACTTTGATTCCGCCCTGGCCTTGCCACGGTTTATTCACTACCCTCGCAGCTCCTTCGTAGTCAGCCGATCCTCGGAGAAGACTCGGCCGAGCAGCATCTTCGCCCTACGTACCCTATCGGGGTGGACTTCTGCCATTGAAAACTCCACCACCTGGTCACTTGTGATGTGCGCCATTGTGAACAATTGAAACACATAAGAAACACCAATATCACAAGCGCCCTCAACGACGAGGGGAATACTAACAGCTACCCAAGGGTAGCTAGAGAAAAGGAAATTGAATTTCATAGTAGGGAGGCCATTAATCCATTACCCAAACACAATTTCCGTAGCTACAAAATTCCACGTACCCGAATATGATTCTTGCTTGGGGCTGAGAGCTCGGCCTCTGGTTTTCCTGACTTCCTTTTCACAGAACCGATGGTGAGAAGAAGGACCAGAGCGGCTCATTAAATAGGCCAAGCAAGCATCAATCCTCCACTTCAACGAGGAGTCTAATTGGGGTGGGAAACTGGCATTTTTAAAATGAAATAATTGTCTGTTAGATATTTCTACCCGCCGACAGATACTCCGAAACGGAAAATCTCCAAGTCTATTATCCATCACCGAAGAATTCACGAAACCGAAAGGATTTAGTTGGATATCCGGATTTTTCCTCGACGAACTATTCCGGTGAGGGATTGGCCGGCAAAACAGAAGCGACCACCGCCTCTCCGCGGGACGGGTTTGGACACGCGAAGTCAGCATCCGATTCCCTACACAAATTTGAGACGAACTCGCCCCACACCGGGATCTATGTTCAGAACTCGCCCCAAAGCGGGATCTAAGTTCACCGGGGGATGTATTGATCAGGGGATCCATGACCTGGACAGAGTCCCTAAGCTGTCGAAGGTTAGGCAACCCATCAGGGACCTTCAGCCACTCCTCGTCCACATCCTCCGGCAAAGGCAAGACAAAGTGCCACATCAAGCGCTTAGAACGACATACCCGTTTGGGCAACGATTCTTCTTGATCATGGGGATGAGCACTTCGGTGGTCTCGTTGCCGCTTAAAGGGTCTAACCGCGACCGAACTCCTTCTAGGGGATGTACTGGAAGTCTCATTTTCGTGCAATCTCCCCCGTCGTAAGGTCATCGGCCGTCCATCCTTTGTTTTTACCAGAGAATCAGCCCCCCAATTTCCTGAATCCCTTGGTTATCTAGGGCAGAGAGGAAGATCGCTGAAAAGCAAGAGTGAATAGTGTCGCCGGCCGATTGGCAAAGCTCGAACAGGGCTAGGATAGCCGCCGAGCAGAATTCGAGAGAGGAGAGAGCGCCACTCATAAATTTTTTTTTTTAACATCGGAGCACTTTCAGTCACTTATTAATTAACAAAAGCAGAGCGGGAAAATGGAGCGACACACCGCCGTCGTTCAAAGAAAAGAGGAAACACATAAACCAAAGTCATCAATGCAAGAGCGCATGCGTACGTACGTAAACATAGCCAGGGCATGCATGCAGCAAAGATAAACACTGGGGATTGTAAAATTCTCTTCTCGGGCAGTGCAATTGCAAGAGAAAACACACATCGCTAGGCATAAAGCAGAGAAACATATGGCATACATACCTCATAATTACGTTTCCTCTTCCCCATGCATCCAGATCGAGAGAGACAGAGATATCATGATCTCCTACCTATATATCCGATAAAGATCACAAATTAATAAATCTAGCCTATGCAAACGAAAGAACACGAGAGTTTTACGTGGTATCCTCGGTCGAGTATTGACCGAAACTAATCCACGGGAGAGGACTGCCTCTCCGACTTGATCTTATTATTATTGCTGCTAGGTTACATTGGCCGAATGGCCTACACACCTTTTATACTCCTCGTCTCCTAGGTTTACATAACATGAACATGAACTCAAATTCAACCTAGGACAAGGACTCCTTGTCATACAAGTAACAGCATGGAAACAACTTGTAGACAGGCCCGGGCCCACATGGGCTGACTTGGGCTCAACTTCATCCCGATCCAATACAAATTAATCTCAACAAAACCATAGCAGTAGAGCAGAAAATGGCAGCGCCTGTTAACTCATCTTCATCGTCATCATCATTCAGCTTGAAGCTCATCATCGACAAGAGGCAAAACAAGGTCCTGTGCGCCGAGGCAGGAAAAGACTTCGTGGACTTCCTCTTCAACTTCCTCACCATGCCGGTCGGCTCCGTTTTCCGCCTCCTGAAAGAAGACCGCCTCCCAGCCCCTGGCTGCATCCGTCAACTGTCGGACAGTATCGAGAACATAAATCAAACTTGCTTCCAGAGTGCAGAAGCCAAGGACTACCTCGTCACCAAGCTCCGCGGCGAAACCCACGTCAAGAAGGTGCCTCTCTTCCCCGTTGCCCCAAATCGCTCCGTGCAAAGGACAATATACTGTTGCAGCTCTAAAAAACATGAACCTCGCTGTGTACGTGTCAACTACTGGTGGGAATCATCTAGTTGCTCGGGGAGTAAGGTGAGGTTTACGGACACCGTGGGATGGTGTCGTGAAGCCGATTTCGTGAAGGGAACACTGCGCTACTTCGTGAAGGACGATCTCTCCGTTCTGCACTTCGACTATTCCATCATGTCCGGCGTCTCCCTTCTCACCACCGAGTTTAATGTCAAAGACTTCGGCATCATCGAGGAAAAAGTCGTCCAGATCGGCGTGGATGAGGTACGTAACCTACACAATCAAACACGTTTTAAATACTCCTTTAATTTACAGCCTGATTGCAGGGACTGGAATTGTTGCCACACAATAACGTACGTAACGTGATGTTATTGTTGTAGGGGCTGGAATTGCTGCAGGCGTTCATGCGCACAACATCGGCTCTCACCACTGTATTTCTCGGGAAGAAGGAGACCGTCGTCAAGAACGAATCCAACTGAAAGGCTCTATCGATCATTGCATGCACCCATGGGACGATAGCGGATTTCCTTCCAAATTATTTTCTTTTCCTCCCTGCACAACTTTGATTACGTTTGTTTGGAGCCACGGTTTCTTTGTTTCAGTACTGGAGAACGATTGTTTGGTTTGCTTCCTTTATGTTGCGTAGTGGCTCCTGAACTTTTGTTGTTTACTAATGTGGTCTTCATCTTCGTGTTTGTTTTTGTGTTATTTTTCTCCATCTTTTCGACGACATTTAAGATATATAAAACTAACTCTAACATTTATACCCCAAATTTAATTAAATCACAACTTAGTTACTACAATATAAATTTTACATTTTGATACCCAAAATTTAATTTTAATATAAAATTATTGAACAATTATGTTTTGGTATCTAAAATCTATGAGATTTTCGTACCTACAATTTTTTAAATTTACATATTGGTCCTATGTTTAGATTTCACTTGAATCTATGAATCCAATCCACCAATCCTTTTGAACCAATCCATGAATCCAATCCACCATAACATAAAAGTGTAAATTTAGTTTGTACAATGTGTTGTATATCACTCAATATCACTCAACTGTAGGAGAATATTTGACCATTTTATATTGGCTTAATTGCAAGTTTGGTCACTCGAATTGCTACAAAATTTCACGTTTGCCACTCAAATAAATTTATTCCATTTATAGTCACTTAAATTAGGTTAACAGTCCAAGTTTGGTCACTGGCCGTTAGTCTCCGTTAACTTTTGCTGATGTGGCGGTCAACTCTTATAGTTGACCGTTAAATAAGTGACGTGGCGATTAAAAAATTAATAAAATAATTTAATTTAATTATTTTTTATTTTCCACCTAATTATTATAAAAATAAAAAACACCTAATTCCTTTTAATTGTTATTTTCCACCGCCCGTAGCCGTCAGGTCGACGACCTCTCCCGGCCGGCCAACCCGTCGCCTCCGACCTTCCCGAGGGAACCCAATGGCGATACAGCGAGTAAGAGAATTCAGAAGCGTACTTCGCGATCGACATGTGCGTGGGGAGCTTGGTTGTTCTGGTTTGGCACAAGTTGAACAACAAAAAGGCTGGCCTGATGGTTCCTGCTGCCGCTTCTGGGTTGATTTGTGGAGATGGATTGTGGATTCTGCCCTCGTCGATCCTTGCTCTGGCGAAAGTGAAGCCCCCCATTTGCATGAGCTTCTTCAAAAGCTCCTAGACTGTAGAGATTTTAGTATGCAAAGATAGTATAGTACTTTTTGCAGCTTCTTTTAACAAGGGAAGAACAGAGAGTCAGGAGAATTCTAATTCAAGTAGCTTCATTGTTTGGTAATGCCTGTACAATGTTCTTATTCTTTTCCATTCGTTAATTGCAAATATGAAAAGAGACGATCAAGACAGCATCTAAGCTGGTAATCTCAAACAGAGTAACAATGGCGGCAAACCAACAAAAACAGGAAAAACGCAGGTAATCAAGAAAGAAGAAATCAATGAACACTATGAACATGCAAAAATGGCTGCCTTCTAATTCAGACTGTAACAAGGGTGAGAATTTGATAGACAAATTTTCTTTTCTTGTTAAATGATCAAAATTTAACACACATAGAAAAAAGCTTTCCCTGTGTATTGTAAACTCATTCACAATTCACACATAACCAGCAGCAGTTACCCCCTTCTCCCTCGTCTCTATCTCTTCGAATTTGGCTTTCCACAGATTCTTCCTTTCCCCACTCTCCCTCTCTACATATATATGATTTGATGCTTACACCTGTACACTATGACTACTCCGATCCGCCGTCGTTTCCTCCGTCGCCGTTCCGACCACCACCATGGCTTTCTCCTCCTCCGGCAACACCACCACCGCGGCCTGGCTCGAACCCAGCTGAATCGCCCGACCCGACCCCAATTGAATCTCCTGATCGGCAGCCAACGAATCGGCGATCGGCCGAATCACCAGGATCCCTTCCCCAGCCGCCGCCATGACGAAGGCCGCGAGGAAGATGAACAGCGACAGCACGGCGTACGGCTCGTCCCGCGGGGCCGACAAGACGGAGAACTCGAGGAAGACGAGCTGCAAAGGCAAGGTGATCATTACGACGAGGGTCAATCCGTAGAGCCGCAACCTCAGCCCTTTATTGATGACCAGGGTCAGCGCCTTGAAGCAGGAGATCGAGAACGCCGCGAGGTACCAGACGGCGAAGGAGCCGAAGACGACGCAGCTCATAAGCGATGGAAAATAACAATTAAAAGGAATTATGTTTTTTTTATTTTTATAATAATTAGGTGGAAAATAAAAAAATAATTAAATTAAATTATTTTATTAATTTTTTAATCGCCACGTCACTCATTTAACGGTCAACTATAAGAGTTGACCGCCACATCAGCAAAAGTTAACGGAGACTAACGGCCAGTGACCAAACTTGGACTGTTAACCTAATTTAAGTGACTATAAATGGAATAAATGAATTTGAGTGGCAAACGTGAAATTTTGTAGCAATTCGAGTGACCAAACTTGCAATTAAGCCATTTTATATTGTTCATTACGTGAATATTAAAAATATGATAAAAGAGATACGACTCTAAAATATTGCAACAACGAATTTATAAACTCATTTAGTACATTTATGGGGCGCTAAACAAACTTCTACTAACTACATGTAACAAAATATGCGACATCTACATAAGCAAGTGTCAATAAATTGCTATGGTGAAAAGAGTTGACTGTAGTATTAACGACCAACTAAAAGAATTGGTCAAAACTTCTCCATCATCTAACAAGGACGAGCAGAGCGATGACGGCGTAACCCACGTTCAACATGTTCATAATATGTCACTTCATGTTGCTAATGGTGAGAAGTTGCATGTTTCTCATATGGGCAAGGTTACTAGTTCGGATATTGAGCTTTCGTCTACATTTCATGTGCCGAGATTGGTTCCTAGTTTGGCAACTGTGGGTCAACTTACTGACCAAGGTTATCGTGTTACGTTTGCACCCTCTGGCTATGTTGTACAGGATCCGACGACCGGGAGGGAGATCGGCAAGGGTAGTAAGAAGGGACGCCTATTTTACCTGGAGCAATTGCGTCCACCATCATCCGCATCATCATCCACCTTCCAGCCTCGTACCTTTTTCCCTACTGTTTTTTCGAGTCTCCCTGATAAAACGTTTCGGTTATGGCATGCTAGATTAGGTCATCCTGATTCTAGTAGACTCACTACTATGTTTAAGCAACAGTTATTTGGTCCAAAGACTCTTGGTCATTGTTCGTCGGGTTTTTCATGTACCAGTTGCATTGAGGCAAAAACTACTCGCATTTCTTTTCCATCCAGTCAAACCACTATTTCTGAACCCTTTGATTTGATCCATATTGATCTTTGGGGACCTAGTCCCACCATTTCCCGACTTGGATATAAGTATTTTGCACTCTTTATCGATCATGCTACTCGATATACATGGGTATACTTTCTTCGCCTCAAATCCGACCTCTTGGCTGTCGCTACAAAATTCCTTGCCATGATTAAAACCCAATTTGGTAGAACTATTCGTGTAGTTCGATCTGATCCTGGAGGAGAGTTTAGTTCTGGTCCCTTGTTAAATCTCTATCGGTCTCTCGGTATTTTGTCTCAAAAATCTTGTCCTTTCTCTCCCAACAAAATGGTCTGGTAGAAAGGAAAAATAGTCATGTTCTCGAGGTCACTCATGCTCTCTTGCTCTCTTCGTATGTCCAACTTCCTTTTGGCCTGAGACTGTTGCTACGCTATTCGCCTCATCAACTATCAGATTACTCATGTCCTCGAGAATACCAGTCCGTTTTTCCGTCTCTTCTCAAAACCCCCACCATATTCCCGCCTTCGTGTTTTTGGGTGTGTCTGTTTTGTCCTTCTCCCTCGGTCTGAACGTACTAAACTTACCTCTAAGACAGCTCGTTGTTGTTTTCTTGGCTATAGTGGCATCCATAAGGGCTATCTTTGTTATGATCCTGCTGCTCGTCGTGTTCGTATTGCCTGTCATGTCGTGTTTCTTTAAAATCTGATGCACCATTCTTCCTCGTCTGGTTCCTACTCACCATTGTTTGATCTGTCCCTTACTCCGCCCTCTTTTCCAGATGATGATGATGATGATGATGGGTTTGTTGAACTACCTGCCGATGAGCTACCCCCCGACTCCCCTCCCTCGACAGCACCTTCCTCTCCTGGTTCTTCATCGACTGATCTCTCATCACCGTCTCCACCTCCAGTGGAGCCCCCTCGTCGCTCACTCCGTTCCATCAAGGGTGTTCCTCCTGTTCGGCATATGGATTACTTGGCCTATAGTGTTGACCCTATTCCGGTTCCTACTCTATATTCACAGGCTAAGGGTCATCCTGAGTGGGATAATGCTATGGCCGACGAGATCGACGCGCTACATACTAATCACACCTAGGACATGGTTCCTCGTCCCCCGCCCTCGATTCCAGTTATTGGCTCGCGATGGGTGTATGCTATTAAGGTTCGTCCGGATAGTACTCTTGAAAGGTTCAAAGCCCGGGTAGTGGCCCAGGGTTTCTATCAGGAATACGAGATTGATTTTGAGGAGACGTTTGCTCCGGTGGCGAAGATGGTTACTGTTCGTACTCTTTTGGCAGTTGCATCCTGTAGACACCACATTTTGTCCGGGATAATCGTTTTATTGAAAATAGTTATTCTAACGTCGTACTACGATTATATTTAAAAAGGAAGTTGAAGATAGTTTGGTTGAGACTAGCAGTTGCAAGTCAATATGAACCAACAATTATCAAATTTGCTCCTAGTCGATTCTAGGGCATAATTAGTTAAGATAGGATCGATTTAAGTTAAGATTGACAGTGGCAAATCTTAAATATAAATTCTCAATTGGACGAAATAAATTATTATGGTGCAAAGTTTGTTGTACGCTTTGGATATGGGAATGGTAGATTTATTGTGCAAAATTCGAATTGAAAAGAAAACAAATTCATTATCAGATTTGATACATTGTTCATCGTAGTAATTACACCATAATAAGAATTAAAACTAATTACAATAAACTAATTACAAACAGATTAGGCTCAACAAATTGAAGTCATTGTCCTCCTACTTTAAGCCCAAACAAATTGTGTACCTGCAAAAATAAAAGAGAGGAAAAAAGATTAGTTTTAGCCCAAATTAAAATCTTGAACCCAGTTCAGGCCCAAGGGTAAAAGTCCAATTCCAGATCTGATGCCCAACTAGAGCCCAGAGCCAGACCCAAATTCAAACCCGGCCTAGACGAAGTCCAGATCGGCCCATAACACCAGGCCTAAGTCGGCCCAACATTATCCAATCTTGGCTCAGCCCACACTCGGCCTGACATGTCAGAACCGACTTAATACATGGAAGCTCCAGAATTGGCCTTCCAAACAGCCAATGAAAGGGAGGCAACAGGGCAATTTTGTTTGCTATAAAGTGGAAATTATAGAAGCAAGGACGGAAAGAAAATACAGACTTTCTTCTGTTGAAAGGGCGCTGAAGATCATAGCAGAAGGTATTCTCAAACGAGAATTGCACCAGGTTAGCTTTGTAACACTTATAACTCTTTTCATAATGAAATTTAGTCCTTGTATTCAGTTTCCTTTTGTGTGAGTTTTCTTCTTTGGCATTATTATGCTATACTAGTTAATCTGTTTACTCATTTCCATTGAAGCGGTTTATGTTTGAGCACTTGTTATTACCATCTTCCTTCTCCTAATAGTATTGATTATACCCCCTACATGGTTGTATTTCATTAAACTACTCGCTTCCCATCTATAGTGATTGATCGCTTTTCATTTAGATCTAGTATTCATATATATCTCCCCTTTTCCAAGAAACACAGTTGACACCAACACCATAAACATTATAAAACTTCAGATTTCAAACCCATGAATCAACCATAGTCTAATAAAAATAGGAGCTAAAGTACAGTTCATAATAACATCATAAACCCAAAAATTTCATATTCAAGAACTCTTGCCAATTCTTTCAAATCACCCAAAACTCTAATCTGACTAAATCGCACAGCAGTAGCAGTGATGTAGAGTCAAGGGTGGCTGTTACCATTTTCATTACAAAAAATTAATTTCTTTTACTACTTAGATTAGGCGAGAGAAAGATATTTAAGTTTCAAACTTTAAACTAAATGTAACCAAAATCGCATACATCTTAAAAACACACAGGTATAGTTTTGTTAAAAACTAGTCTAATTTTTAGACTTTGACCTATCATATCCAAAACCCAGGATCTGCCGAAACCAAATCCAGATTAGCAACCAATAAAAGATCACCCATTAAAGCATAAAACGCCAAGACCATTTTCCATAAACTTGGATCTACAAACAAATTAAATTTTTTTCCAGTTTAACCTTCCTAGTTAAACTAATCAGAGTTAGGAGACCTCACCTAAATCTCTAGGTATTCGAATATGCAAAAAGAAGAAATAGAATCAGAACCCAGCGTATGTAAAGAATCAAATAAACTCAGGAAGAAGAAAAAAACCGAGTCCGCCCCTGTGTCGTCAGCAGCTGCTCTTCTCGGCGGCGGCGGCACACGCTCCGGCGGTTGCGGCGATTTCCTCCCTGCTTCTTTTCTCTTCATCTAAAACCAATCCCGAAGAGCCACAAGAAAATGAAATAAATATTAGATGAATCCCAAATAAAATCACCTAAAACGAATTGAAAAGAACTTGCATGCCGAGAATCTTACCTAAATCTCTAGGTATTCGAATCTGCAAAAAGAAGAAATAGAATCAGAACCCAGCGTATGTAAAGAATCAAATAAACTCAGGAAGAAGAAAAAACCTAGTCCGTCCCTGTGCCGTCAGCAGTTGCTCTTCTCGGCGGCGGCGGCACACGCTCCGGCGGTAGCAGCGGTTTCCTCTCTGCTTCTTTTCTCTTCATCTAAAACCAATCCTGAAGAGCCACAAGAAAATGAAATAAATATTAGCAGAATCCCAAATAAAATCACCTAAAACGAATTGAAAAGAACTTGCATGCCGAGAATCTTACCTAGATCGTCTATTTCCGATCGACTTAGGGAGGCTATAGTCGTCCTTTTGCCTGAATCGAAAGAGGAGTCCTTCCTCATCTTCTGTCGTTTGCCCTTCCTCTCCACCGAAAACCAAAAATCAAAACGAAGCCCCAAATCAGAATCGCACATAAATAAACAAAAAATCACAGAAAAAAGAAATCAAAAGTCATGCATGTTGCTGTCTGACCTAGATCGAACTTCCTCGAGTCAGATTAACTTGATCCGAGTTGTCATCTGGCCAAATCGGGGATGGAATGTGAGATTTTCGTCGGTTTTGAGACCTTTTTGCCCGTCGAGAGGGTGGAAGAGGGGAGAGAAGAGAGTGGCGACGACCGGTTTGAGGAGATGGGCGAGAGAGGGGAACGATGGGAGATCGGCGGCGTTGAGAGGTGAGGAGGTTTCTCTTTCTCTTTTTCTTCTGACTAAAAGGCAGAGGAAGAATCGAGAAGTGAAGAGAGTAGGGAGGTTGATTTGATTAGGGTTTTTTTAGTCTCTTCTTCTGGAAGAGGAGACGGGAGAGAGGTGAGAGGGAGAGAGAGAGAGGCGGCGGCTAGGGCTGCAAATGAGCCGAGTCGAGTTTTACCCCAGCTTGAGCTCGGCTCGTTAATAAACGAGTCGAGTTCGAGCTCAGCTCGTTTATTAACGAGCCGAGTCGAGTCGAGCTCGAGCTAGCTTGTTTATTAAAATCTTGACTTTTATTTGGTACTTCATTTTGTATATCATGATACATATGATTTATTTTGTTAGCTAATCTCATATTATACTTTGTTGGTATCATATATCATTTAGTTAATAAATCTTAACTACTTCAAATCATGTTATTTCATGGTATCAAAACAATCTATGATGCATAATTTCTTTTTAAAGTAGAAAATAAGATATATTTGATCACATACTCAACGTGTTAAACTTTATATATGGTGAGATATATAATTTAACAACCATATGAATTAAAATCATAAGATATAGATTGATTCGTCCATAAGTTGGTAATAGAGTTGGCTCTCTAGCCACATGTTAAGACATATCATGAGCTCTAAACGAGCCAGCTCACGAGTTTAGGTCAACAAGCCACCGAGTCGAGCTAGCTCGCGAGCTTCACGAGCTGAACAAAGGTTAGCTCATGTTCGGCGGGACAAGCTACGGTGCTAATCCTATAAGGGGTTAACACCGTACTAACTAATATTTAAATGGTTTAATTTTATTTTTTATTAAATGGCTATAATTAAAGAAAGGGTATAATAGGAAATAAGAAGAAAATTAAAAAATATGAAATTAATATGATTTACGGAAAGTGGGATTGGGTTTTTGGGATTTAGTGGGAGCAGTTATTTTTTATTCGTTTTTGGATATTGGGCAGATTTAATGGGATTAGGTTTTTTGGATTTTAATGGGAGCAGTTACAAGTTTTTCTCAACAATGTCTCTCTCTCTCCCTTCTTTCCATCACGTCTCTTTGTCTTTGCATAATAAAACACTACATTCTTTGAAAAATACTAGTGACTCTTTTCTGCAGGTATGTAGTAGTAATTTGGTGTGTAGTATTGATTTATTAGTAGTGATTTTGATAAATTTTTAATAGAATCAATATTACTATACAGGTTGTTGCAGTCAATCATAATAAATCACTACTAATTCTAGCAAACATAATAATAAAGCACTACTAATACAAAATCATCAAAACTGCTACAGCATATCCGTAAATGCGAGATCCATAAATTCAATGTTATAGAATCATTGCTAATACCATCATATCTGTAAAATCAAAATTATAAAATCACTATACTACTATTACAAAACCACTACTATCGAGAATCCTCCACTGTCTACATCTTTCATCAAATGTAATCTCTTCTCTTGCACTCCTTATAATTTCATGAGTCCACAGCTGCGAACAAAAACAAAAGAAGCACTACATGATTTTCATCAGTACAAAAAACACTACATATGCATAAGAACAAACAGGGGATACTTCTGGAATGGAAATGGCAGACAAGAGAAAACACTACTCCTTCGTTTAGGAGGGCTAAAGAAGCAATACTAAACCAACACGAAAACACTACTAATCAGAATAGGAATCGCTACCAGCCTACAACCCTGACTCATTTCGCGGTAAGGTGTAACCTAACATGAATCACTACCAACGTAACAATTTTAACCACGCGCGAAAACACTACGAACTACCCTTTCGGACTATTCACTTTCTCATCTACCAACTGAACATCATCGAAAAAATAAATAAGTGCATCCCACTCCGATCAGATGCCAAAATAGAGCTCGAATCTAGAAACCTATAAGCAACCTCCCTAAAAGACAGATCTTGATCGGGGGAAAAATTCAAAGCCGGGGCACGGGGCATGCAATTGCGCCGATGATAGAATGGAAAGACGATTGATAAGGTTTAACTACTACCTGAGGCGGCGGCTTGACCGAAGACGAGAACAACGGAAAGTGGGGCCGTCGAAGGCGCTGACGACCGCGACGAGGTCGGAGGAGTAGAGGGAGGTGATGAGGTCAGAGGAACAGAGGGCGACAACGAGGTGGGAGAATTGGAGAGTGATGACGACGTGGGAGGAGCGGAGGCCCGCGTCGAGGGCAATGCAGGCAAAACAATCTCGACGAAGGCCGCTGGCGATGGAGGCTTCAACGACGGGAAGGACTGCGAGGACTCTCTGACTTCCCTAGGTCAATAACTCTGACGGCTATAGAGGAAATTGGATGGGAACAAAAAAATCTCATTAAAAGCAAAAAAAATCTCCCCCGGCTGATATCACGGCCCAACGTTAGCTAATTAACCTAACTTACAAAAATGCCCCTAGCCATATTCCCCCTTACCAG